CCCATGGCCAATCGGGCTCATAGGGCCCGTTTGGGCTTGGAGGGCTCATATGGCTCATAGGGCCCATGGGGCTCATAGGGCTCATATGGCTCATGGGGCTCAAGGGATAGGACTCACGGGGCTCACAGAGCTCATAGGGCCAAGATGGCTCGCATAGTCATGGGGCTCGTAGGGCTCATAGGGCTCTCATGAGGCTTTCAGGGCTCATGGGGCTCATAGGGCTCATGGGGCTCGTAGGGCCCATGGGTTTAAGATCGGGAATGGGCCAAAGAATGGCGCCCGCTTCCTCCCGCAAGTCTCCCCCTCATGTATAGCTGGGCTGCTCAAGCTCTCTGGGGACGGAACCCCATCTTCCTCGCTCATGCTTTCGAGCCTGCGCCAGCAATGGTGAAAAGCAGTGCTTCGCCCCGGGCAAAAACTCGTTCGGAGAAGACGAAGTTGGCCGTGCACCGCAATTTCAAGCCGTTCTCTTCTGGGCGCAATGGCGCAGCCAACCGCCGCCACACACAACGTCGTCTGCTGCAGCTGATGAAGATGGCTGGGGCCCCCGTCATGATCATGGCTCTCGTGGCGAAGATTGCGATGTGCCCGTACTTCGACATTTCGGAAAGCGTGGATTGGACAGAATTCTTCAGCCACTGCCTTAAAAACACACTGATCACGGATGGTTGGGGACCCACCAATTAGCAACCTAGGATGTGTGATAAGATCCTGCTCTCCCCCCTTACTCGTCCTCATCCTCCTAGCTCTCTCCCCATCTCCTCGTTGTGCCCCTATCCACTGCAAACTACAATGTGTGGCGTGGCTTCCGGCTGCTCCAACCCTCGCCACCCTTCCTCCTTTTCTCCCTCCTATCTCCTTCCTCCACTTCTATCTCCCATCTCGCCCCAGGCCCTGACCCCGACAAAAAACGGCGGGGGCGGTTGTCGAGGTTCCTGGGAACCACCGCCTGTCCAGTTCTCAGTGTGGATTGGCGTCGCTGGTGGCGTAAATGGTACGACCCCACATCGATCGAACCTTACTTTTTGTTTCGGGCGTGGCCCGAGTGTGCTTCTCGCCAGGCAATCTGATTGCACTGAGCTGAACTGAACTGACTGGTTGCACCCGTTGCGCGACTGTCTTATTCTCGGTCGCCAAGGGCTCAACCGATATGGCGCAACCGATAACACATGGTGTTATGTTTGCTGCCGAACGCGCAACCTTTGGCGCAACCGATAGGTGACGGTTTTATTGTTGGCCGCCAAGCGCAGCACAACCTATGGCGCAACCGATCGGATACGGTCTTATTCTCAACTGCCGAGGACGCAAGCTACGGCGCAACCGATAAGAATTATTGTCCGTTCGATCATGGCGCAATCGATAGGAAGCCGAGCTGAATCGGGAATGAGACCAGAAAGACGATGAGGATGAGGCGAACGAGGAGGAGGGGGAGGAGGAGGAGGAGGAAGACGATGACGATCAGGATGGGGAAGATGACGGGGAGGAATACAAGTAATACGAGGACGAAGTGTTGGAATTCCAATGCACGCGGCGCTACGCCCGATTTATGTTCGCCGTTCGGGCTGGCAATGAGGCCCAAACGGCGAGCTGACGCGTGGTTTCACATCGTGCCGAGGCGGCAAGCAGGCGGTGACAGACAGCATGATCGCCAAGGGGCTGACTGCAGTGCCATACGAGAAGCTCAACGACGCCACATACCAGAACCTCATGCATTACGCTGGCTTCTGTTATGCTTGCCTCCTGCTTGTGAAGAGCCGCGTCGGCAGCGGGTCCAACAGTGCGCCAGTGTGCAGCACGTGGGTGTGGATATCGCGGGGGACGACCAAACGACGACCATGGCAACCTCTCGGAGACCCAACCATTGAGAACGTTGCCAACGCCAACACGATGATCTCCCGGGTGATGATACTATGCTGGATCCTGGTCAGCAAAGGAATGTTACTACGTTCCGTACATTCCGCCGCTCCCCAATAGAAAAATCTCGAATGGTCCCCGACGGGCCCTGGGCCAATTGTTCATATATCCCCTGGGCCCCAAGATGGGCCCCGAAATGCTGCCCCCAAGGCCTCGGTGGGCCCCGCGCGGTGCGAAACCAATATAGCGCCGCGATGTGGGCATGCATGCGCCGCCCAAGCACACGTCGATTTGCCAATCGTACGAACCAAGGTTCGTGGCGGATCTTCTTCATACTCGAACAACCGAGGGGCTCGCTCATGGAATGGCACCCCAGGTTCCAGGAATTCATCAAGAGCCACAAGTTGTACAGGGTGTGTTGAAATGGGGCGGTTCGGGGCACCGACGGCGAAGCCGTCGTGGCTATACTCAGCGCACGAGTTCATCCAGGAGCTGCCCAACTACCAAGGTGCGAAGTCAGACCAGCCAGGCCAGAACATGTTGGTCGACATGGTCCAGACCTCCGATGGCGCCGTCCAAATCAACGGGAACCACCGCCTGAAGGGCAGCCAGGCGTACCCGAAGGCCTTCGGCAAGGCCGTTGCCGATCTCTACATGGCGCATCGGGCGGTCTGGGCTGTGAAATGAGTGGGGAACGCTATTGATGCGTTCAACTTGGTGTCTCCCGGTCTCTTCTCCTCCTTCTCCTCCTCCCCCTCCTCCTCCTCCTCCTCCTCCTCCTCCTCCTCGACCTCCTCCTCCTCGACCTCCTCCTCCTCATCCTCCTCCTCCTCCTCCTCCTCCTCTTCTTGATCTCCACCACCCCCCCGCTGCGGCGGACGGCCGCGCCTCGGGGGACATCCCCGCGGCAACAGTCGGCGTCGGAGCCTTGCGGCGGGCGGAGCGAGGAGCGAAGATGAGGGGTCATGATGACTGGGGAGCACATGGAGGAATGGAAGGAGGAGCACACGGAGGAATGGAGGAAGGATCGAAGATATGGTGGCGTCGATCGGAGTCGGATCGGTCTGACGTCGGCCCCGAGGCCGAGCTCAAGACAGCAGGGCAGGCGCTGATCCAGAAATCGAGCTCTGTGAAGGTGCGCCTCGCGCGTGACATCGCCACGAATGCGCTCACGGGCAAGCGCCGCTGGGCGGATGCTGACCTGAAGCCCGTGTTCGGGTACTTAGATCTGTAGGCGGTGGTATCCCCTATTGCCACCTGCGCCTCCATGGACACCAACGATGTGCATGCGCCCACCCACGCCGCTCCTGGGCCCATGCTCGGCGCGCACATTCTCCTGGCCTGGCCGTGGATGCATGTGCGCTGAGCATGGGGCCAAGAGAAGCTCGGTGAACATGCGCACGCGTCGCTTGCGTCACCCGATGCCCGTGCTGCGCGCTGCTGCGTGAGCCGCGCCCTGCACACAACCTCTCCGCCATTATAAGACAAAAATAATACCACTGACGTGTCAGCCCTCCCCCCCCCCAACCCTCCCCCAAGCAAATCCACGCCCGTAGAATGGCCGTGAGACAGCCGTAAAGTGGCGTGTAATGCCGTAAAATGGTTCCCCATCCCTCCCCTTCCCCCGCCAACCCTCCCCGTGACAAAAATCCGCAGCCGTAAAATGGCCGTGAGACAGCCGTAAAGTGGCGTGAAATGCCGTAAGATGGTTTTCTTCCACCCCCCGCCATTGTTCCCCCTGCCCCGTCAGCCCTACCCCAGCCCTCCCCACAACACACACGCCAGCTCGCTGCCTGATCCCCGCCGCCCGCCCAAACCATACTATACTTGGAGCGAATAGTTCATCTTCTTTGGGCTGGGGACCCCTAGAGTTGCCACGAAGCCTCAGTGAGGAACCTTGTATAATTCTGTCTCACAGAAAATCAGACGCGGCCCCGTGTGCATGCGAATGCCCAGATTTCGTGCTCATGCAATTCGTATTCCTCCCCGTCCTCCCCCCCCATCCTGATCGTCGTCCTCCTCCTCCTCCTCGTCCCCCTCCTCGTCCTCCTCCTCGTCCTCCTAGCCATCCTCGTCCTCCTCCTGTCCCAACTCGGTTTCCTATCGGTTGCACTATAGGTTGTGCCCATCGGCGGCTGGTAATAAAACCGTCTCCTATCGGTTGCGGCCTCGGCAGCTGATAGTCCCACCAGCCTTCTGGGCGTCGGTGGTTTAGTGAATGTTTGATCGATCTCCTCCAATATGGCCCCACGAAGCGCCCATGAGGCCCCAAGAGGTCCCAGGATGGCCCCAAGACGGCCCCAAGATGCCCCCAATATGCCCCCAGGAGACCCCCAAAAGGATCCCGAGCGGGCCCAAGACGCCCCCCCCCCCCGAGGCACCCAAGACGCCGACGATCCCCCCACGACCGCCAAGAGACCCCCAAGATGTCCCAAGACGCCCAAGAGGTACCCCAAGAGGCTCCGAGAAGCATCCAAGGGACCTCTGACCCTTTTGCTTGCTCTCCTCCTCCTCCCCCTCCTCCTCCTCCTCCTCCTCCTCCTCCTCCTCCCCCTCCTCCTCCCTTCTCATCATCCTCCTCCCCCTCCGCCTCCTCCTCCTCCTCCTCCTCCTCCTCCTCCTCCTCCTCCTCCTCATTGTATTCATCCTCCTTGTCCCTGCTCCCTCATCCATCCATCCAATTTTCTCCTTCGCCCCCTCTCTCCTTCACACGGCTCGGCCGCCCCCCTCTTTGCTCCAGCACTTCGCCCCTGATCACCTCTCAACTCGCATGGGCATCGTGTCTGGATGGGCTGGTGGGGATCCCTCATCGGCTGATAATGAAACCGTCTGCTATCGGTTGTGCCATAAATTGCGCCCATGGCGGGCGCGAGTAAGACCGTCTCCTTGTGCCATATGTTGCGCCCTCGGCGGCCGAGGATAAACGCGTCTCCTATCTGTTGTGCCATATGTTGCACCCTCGCGGGGAACGGTGATACAACCGTCGCCTATCCGTTGCGCCATGGGTTGCGTCCTTGGGTTTACCTTGCAAGAAACAAATTCGGGCTACGCTTGAACACAGCAGCCTCTGTTCCGTAGCCATTAGTGCTTTAAGGTCGTCGCCCCAAGCTGCTGACGCTGTGGCCCACACCGCACCTCTGGAGGCCATGTCTCAAGTTGCCCCTCCTGATCTGTCCGGCGTGGTGGCGACGAAGGGCGAGGTGATCCGCACCCCGCCGCCAGCACGTGAGAGGAGTACGCCTCGGATGGAGCTGAGCCGCCCTAAGCAGGCGAAGCCGATGGCCTCGAAGTCAGCCCCCGCTTCCAAGCCGAGCCTGGTCCGCCTGGGGGGGAAGACCGACGCGCTGGCGGCGGCCATTCGCATGCCTGGGGTACGCTCGTCCCCAGGCCAGCCTGCGACGTCGGCCGCACATGAGCAGGTGGCGCCGGTCCTCCCGGCGGCACCTGCCAGCGGTGCCACTCAGGTGGAGACACCTGATTACTACGACTGGAGGTCCGAGGCGTACTTGCACCAGCGGTTCCCCTCCGAGTACGCGTCGCAGCTTGTGAAGATGAAGACCAGGCTGAAGCAGTACAACGATGGCATCAATGACGTGCGGCACTACTGGGTCAAGTGCGAGCCCGACGACGACGGTGCTGCCACGCCTTGCAGGGGAACGGCTACCCCAAACGTGGCGGAGATGCTGGAGAAGAACCTGACAGAGATCTGTTCCGAGATCGGCCTGCCCCTGGAGAAGATCGCGTCGGCGTGCGGCTGCGCGTCCCTGTCCGCTCTGATCGCCAAGCTCGCCGAGGGTGCCGAGTTCGAGGACGAGGATGACATGAAGCACGAGCTGGACACGTTGGTCCTTTGGGTGGTGGAGGGGGGCGAGATGGCGTCGAGCGCGGCGCCGAGCCCCTGCGCTGCGCCCGCAACCCCGGCTACGCCCCCGCAACGGCCCGCCGCGGCCGCGCCCGCGAGCGAGCCACGGCCGACGGCTGTGCCGAAGGCTGTGCCCGCGACCCCGACTACGTTCGCGGGTGCGCCGCTGCCTGGATCGCCTGTGCCATGTGCGACACTGTCCTTCAGCGAGTTGGGCCGCCAGCCACGGGCCAAGCAGCTTGCTGCGGCCGTGCCGTTGCCCGTCGTCATGGAGGGGTCCCAGGAGAGCATGCGCAGCGACATGGACGCGGCGCCTGAGTTCCCCGACCTCGATGCCATCGACTCGGCTTTCTGCCCAGAGGAAGCTGGCGCGCCCCCTGACGACGTTGGCTCGGCAGCTGGCGTCGCAAATATGCTGGCCACAGATGAGGAGATGGTTGCGCTGCAAACGAGCTTCTCGTGCATGGAGGCGGGGGGCGGCTCGACGGAAGCCACTGCGCCCGGAGTGCTCGATCCCTCGGGGTGCGCAGCGGCCGCAGCGGATGCCATTCTCGCAGCAGCGCAGGCAGCAGCAACGGCGCCATCCCAGCCGTCGCCGCCGAAGATGCCTCGCTTGCTTCAGCGAGACGCCCCTGGCCAGCAGCAGACTCAGCAACATCAGCCACCCCAGCAGATTCAGCAGCAGCAGCCACCCCAGCAGATTCAGCAGCAGCAGCCACCACAGCAGCAGCAGCAGCCACCCCAGCAGATTCAGCAACATCCAGCACCACAACCACTGCCCGCCGCTTGCCCTGTAAGCGGAGCCCCAGGTACCTACCGCAACTCTGTGACGGACCCAGATCTGTATGCGAAGTTCGGCAGGCAGGTCGCGAACAAAGAGATCTTCCCCGCGGGCCTGAAGACCGAGTTGTCCACCAAGAAGAAGAAGACCGATCTCTTCAACCTTTGGCTCGAGCAGGATCAAGACATGCAGCGCGTAAGTGTGGTCATCCAGAGGCGCCTCGAGAATGAGCAGAAGGGCGAATCTGAGTACTCCTGGCTCAAGGCTCGGCAGATCGTGGCGCTCGGGATCTACGCGGAGGACGGCGTGAAGAAGCTCATCGAGAAAAAGTTGAAGGAGAAACAATACTTGAGAGATGGCGAGTTTCCAGAGAAAGACGACGAGAACTACTACTATGTCCGCACTGCCCTCAAGAATACGAAGACGACCAAGCAGATAGATTCCTTGAGTGTCTCCCACGCGACCGAGACGGACACGCACGGGCTGCAGGCGCTCATCGGTGAGGGCGGGGTCCTGAACGCCGACATGCAGGTCCTCGTCGGGGGCGCCAGCAGCGTCGACGCGTTCGACCTCAGCAGCGTGGTGCCCGGCAAGAAGCAGCCGCCCCCGACAGGCGTGGAGCAGTCCACGGCCAACGTTGTGGCGTCGGTGACGCCCTTGCAGAAGTGCCTCGAGATGATGAAGGACATGGGCAAGCAGAGGGGCAATGCCGAACGCTTGGCGTTCGAGCTGGGAGCCTTCAAGCTGAGCACCGAGATGGAGAAGCAAATGGGGACCCACGCGTCCCGCATGAAGGTGGGGGGTCGCACCAACGATCCCCATGAGCCAACTCCTGGGGAGAGAACGAGCGAGGAGAGAGGGAGGATGAGGATGAAAGGAGGGGAGAAGGCGGAGGATGGAGATCGGGGGGCGGAGGAAGTACCCACTATGGCGTACCCATCTGTGCCTGAATGAGTCTCCTGAACCTGGCTCCTCAATACTATGGCGTACCCGACCCCATCGTCACTATAGCTTGAATCTGGCTCAATAGGGCACCTCGTGATCAATACTATGATGTACCCGACCCCGTCGTCATTAAGATCTGGCTCCTGAATCTGGCTCCGCAATACTATTGAGTACCCGACCCCATCGTCACTATGGTTTAAATATGGCTCAATATGGGTCCTCATGATCGGTACTATGGTGTACCCGACCTTGTCGTCACTAAGATCTGGCTCATGAGTATGACTCCTCAATATTATGGCGGACCCGGCCCCATCGTCACTATGTCTTGAATATGGCTCCTGGCTCCTGAATATATATATATATACATACATACATACATACATACATACATACATGCATACATACGTACGTACGTACGTACGTACATACATACATACATACACATACATACATACATACATACATACATACATACATGCATGCATGCATGCATGCATGCATGCATGCATGCATGCATGCATACATGCATGCATGCATGCATACATACATACATACATGCATACATACATATATATATATATGTATGTAAATGTGTATATATATATGGCGCACCCAACCCAAGGCCTCTAGCATATTTACTCGTCACTATTTTCTCGGCAGGGGCCCCGGAGTCTATGTCTATAGGCAGCCTGGATGCTCGCCAACAAGCTCGTTGAGGCGGCCCAGACGGCGCCCTTCAACGAGCGCGCCTTTGAGGCGCTAAACCTCAAAGTCATGGGGTGGACGAAGTGGTTCGATGAGAGGCACGACGCGGGCAAGACCATGGTCAACAGAATCCAGAACAAACGCAAGCGGGAGGCAGATCCCACGAAGCAGACGTCCGAGGGTGGCGGTCGCGGCGGCGGTAGGGGCCGCGGCGGCAGCAGAGGCAAGCAGGCCAGAACGTAGGTGCAAGCTGCGCGGGGTGTAGCACTAAGGGTTCGACGTGGTGTCGAGCCTCCCTTTTGAAGGGGGCCCTGGGAGGGTGGGGTAGAAAGACGGAGGATAGGGAACACGATGGGATAGGCAGAAACGTCGAGGAGGGGTGATGTAAGATACGCTGTATCTTTCAATTCGTGAACGTGATCGTGCGACATTGCACGATCCGCGGGGCTTCTACTGGCGCTCGTGCTGGCGCCAAAATCCGTTACGACCGCTCCTTTTGGTGCGCTCCCCGGCCCTCCGAGACATCTAGGATCCGTGAGTGCTCGCCTGCAGGCCCTTGACAAGCTCACTTGACATCAGGTTCTCTGGTCGGAAAGGGGCGTGGCATAAAGGGGTGTGGTGCCAATCGTGGAAATGTCGATGCTATCTGCAATAACTAACATCACCAGAGTCTCTTTCACATAAAATTAACGCCACACCCCTTTATACCAGACCGCTTTCCTATACCAAGGTTTCGGGCCTCAGGGGGCCTTCCCTGCATGAGGGGCCGGGGCCGACGTCCTCCAGCACTTGACTTAGCTCCTCGGCGACGTCGTCCTCCTCCTGCTGTCGCTCCTCCTCCTCCTCCTCCTCCTCCTCCTCCTTTTCTTACTCATCCTCCTTCCTAGGCTCCTCCTCCACCTCCTCCTCCTGTTCCTCCTTTTCCCCGTCCACCTCCTCGTCCTTTGCCTCCTTCCCCTTTACTCCCGCTTCCTATCCCCCCCCTCCGCTCCCGTCGCCTCCTCCTTGCCCTCCAAGCGCCCTCGCATCTGCCCATCCCTCTCCGCCCGTCGGCTGCCGCCAGGCACTCGTGACAGATTGGACCGAGCAGCTCATCCAGATGATGCTGCAAGGACGCCCGTTTCGGGCATGCTGCACAGGGTGGGGGGAACAGTGAAGTGGAGGATAGGAGGGAAGGGGTAGGGAGGGTAGGGGGTTGAGAGGAGAAGCGAGGAGGAGGGTCGGGTGTGGGGGACAGGCTGGAGAGATAAGGGCGAGGAGGACGCGCAGTGCGGCGCGGGTGAGGGGGGGCAGGAGAAGGACTACAAGGCAGAGATAAAGAGGAGGAAGAAGGATACAGGGCAGAGACACAGAGGAGGAGGAGGAGGAGGCGGAGGAGGAGGAGGAGGAGGAGGAGGAGGAGGAGTAAGAGAAAGAGGTGGTGGAGGAGGAGGAGGAGGAGGAGCAGAAGGGATAGAAGGCAGAGACCAAGATGAAGAGGATGAGACAGAGAGCTCCAAGTACCATACTATCCAATCGTTGCTCGAGTGCTGGTGCTTTCCCTGTGTGCGTGCCCGCATGCAAATCGAGATCTCCTGTTGAGCAGCGCCACCATATCCAGAGTAAAAACGTCTCCCAGGAGGAGCCGTTCTCCCGGAGGCCGTTCTCGTGTTCGGCGCGTTCCTCTCCGGGACTTGCCAGTGAGTCGTACTGTTGAGGAGATGTTGCACGCTGTGGGGACAGGCGCTTCAGCGCCAGAGACCCAAGCCCGTTTGGCAAGGGAGATGGTCGCAGATGGCATCGACACTCCAGCAATCAGATCGTTTGCGAGTCTTGGAACCCATGGTGTGTGCTCCTCGAATATAGAACGTGATTTGTTAACATGGACGCAAGGTTTCTGCAAGTGGGAGCTTGACACATACGATGTCAAATTGCAGCTGCTCATGGAGGACGAATACTTGCCCTCTGAAGCGACAGTGCCCTGTCTTTTACCCCACGAGGCGCCACCGCACACCTCGTGAACCTACCCTTTCAATTGCACACAGTGGGGTAGCAGGTGGTAGAAGTACAGGAGGGATGAGGGGGAGGAGGAGGAGGAGGAGGAGGAAGGTGGGTGGGCAGCGGGAGGGAGGGGAGGGGGATGAGGGGATCGCGAAGAGGTGCTGCATTCCTTGCACGCTGCCGGCCACCAGCAGTTCATCATCTCTTGTACAGGGCCCGATGGCTCCGACGGCCTGGTGGAATATTGGGAATGGGCCACCAGTCAGTCCTGGGGGCGAGGCCATCCTGCTCTCGTCGGCACGGGGCGCGAGGAGTGGAAGCGTTTGTTGCCCATCATGTTGCACCTGGATGGGGCAGAGGTGGGGGCCAGTCTCATGGGGAAACATGGAGTGTTCAGGACGGACCCCTGGCCACGTCTCGGGGTGGTTGCGTTTGTATTTTCCAATTTCAAACAGAAGTTCCAAGAGACTGGCCCCCGCTATAGGTCTACAGAGACTCTGAGTTTTACTTCTTCTCGTTTCGCAGCGCTCTTGCTGAAGGCGCTCCCATTGACATAATATTCCCCTTCATGATGGTTCGGCACTGCCACATGTGGGAGCCGGCGGTCAAGAGACGCCTCTTCAAAGGATGCTCGTTTTGTTTTGTGCCATCATTTCTTGTAGGTCTCGGCAGTGGCCCATGGGCTTCGATTGCGCCCCAGTTCGAATGCGCTCCTGCCCGTTTCTTTCTCCCAGCCTCTCGCATAAAAATTGATCTCCAGATGTGCTGGCAGTGTTCGCTTGGAGCATGGAAATCGCAGAGAAGGGTATTGGTCCAGAGAATGGGTTTTACGGTGAACCCCTGGGCCGCGGAAGTTCGTTGCGCGCCCGCTTGTGCGGTCGACAGTTAGCAGGTGGTAGAGATCTCAACGCCCTTCGCCTCTTCTCTCCTCCCCGGCCCTCCCCATGTCTTGCCCCCCCCCTCCGGGGCGGGCAAGGCAATGGCCCTCGCGCCAACCCCCCATTCTCATTCCGAGGTGGTTTCAGAGCGTGTTATGTGGGGACAAAACACGACACGAAAGCCAAAAAGGAGCTCCACGCAGAAGAGAATTGGTGGGCGACGAGCTGGATGTGCAATGATTGTTTCGCATGTAAACCGAGCAAGAAAACTCCGAGAGGGCTCGAGTATGGAGATTTTCGTGCGACCGCACCGTGGAGGGGTACGGTCTTGTCGGACGAGGCCCATCTCAGACTGTATGGGGCTACCAGCCCGGCGTCCAGAGTGCTCCGCAGTGCCCGCCGCCCCCGCTCGCTTCTAGAATAAAATGCGTCCGTCGCCGCATGGGATTTCGGGGGTTCGCAGAGGGGGGGTATCCAACATGTGATAATCAAAAGGAACTATCTCGCCCGTGGCTGAACGGCCTGACTTTACCAAATCAGGGGGCACTGCCACTCCATCAATTACTACGACTGGCTCCACGTTGTGCTGCTGGGGGTTTACAGAGATCATTGTGCTACCCACATCTGGTGCTGGCTCATATGTGGCTTGTTCCCGGAGGCGCCCGGACCTGGAAAATGGCAGGTTTGTTCTGGCAGGGGAAGGGGTGGGAGAAACGACAACTCTAAAAATATAAATCATCGCTCTCAGGCGCTAGTGGACAAGGCGGTGGCCTTGAGAACCTTATGGGGGATGTTCTCAGATTGGTGCAAAGCTAATGGCGTGAGCAGACCCTCGGGAGCATTCACCTTGAGCTCGATTGGTAAAGGTAAAGACTCACACGTATCTTTCCCGGAGATGGGCTCTAAGTTTAAAGCATCGGCGATCAGGTTGATAACAATGTGGGTTGGCACCGCATCAAATTTGCACGGCTGACGCCGAACTCCCGCGCTGAGAAAAATGAGGAGGAAGGGAGGGGGGTCGGGCGAAGAAGAAGGAGCGGAGACGTGAGAAGAGGAGGGCGGTGGAGGGGCGGGTCAATGGGCAGATTGGCGAGAGGGAACGAGAGAGAGAGAGGGAGCGAGACAGATAGACAGAGAGAGAGAGATAGATAGAGAGAGAGAGGGAGAGAAAAACAAGGAAAAACAAGGTGACACGACGGATGCGAAGCGCAGACAGACAACCCGCCCCTCCCATGGCCAGAATAGGTCAGCGGATTTGATCGAGAGAGACACCCAAGATGGGAAAGTCAGGTCAGTGAATGCTTGGGCAGCCGCCGAGATTCAACATTGTCTCGAATCCTCCAGGTGGCTTTTAACTGCACAGCAACGCGACCGCGTCACACACGCGGCTAACACTTTTTTTCACACGCTGCAGTGGTTGGCCTGCAAAGCTGCGGATGAACCAGCCCCGTTGTGGAAGATCCGCCCAAAGCACCATTACTTGCAACATTGCTTCTTGCGTCTTGCAGTGGATCGGCAGAACCCATGCCGCCAGCTCCAGTGCGCAGGCGAGGAAGCTTACCTCGGCGTGCTGAAACGCATAGGGAAGGCCTGTCACGGCGCAACTGTTTACAATCGTTTGTTCCAGCGCCTTTTTTTGAACTTGCGTATTCGGTGGGAGCGCCGCCGTCGCTCTGGAGCTTGGGCTCTCAGACGGTAGCATCTGCGCTGGAAAGCCAGAGGTGGTGGGAGAGGGAAGGGAAAGGGGGATGCAAAGGCGGACGATAGGGAGATGCCGCGAAGAGGGGCATGGCGCCTGCAGTCGTCGGGCGCCGCCGCCGCGCCCTCGACCAGGACCTGCGGGCGAGGCGGGCCTTCGCCTTGTGGGCCGAGGGGGGGGGAACGCCTTGGGCGGATGTGGAGGCGGATTGTCACACACTCACACACATGTGCACACACGCACACACACATATATCTACACATACATATATATATATACATACAAACACGTGAACATACATACATACATACATACATACATACATACATACATACATACATACATACATACATACATACATACACATTTGTATATATACATACATATACATCTATATAGTTATATATATATATATATACACGTGCACATACCTATGCAAATGCACGCACATGCATATGTTCGTGTACATTGCCACACATGCACATGTAGGAGGAGGAGGAGGAGGAGGAGGAGGAGGAGGAGGAGGAGGAGGAGGAGGAGGAGTGAGAGAACGAGGAGGAAATTCCCCCTCCCGTGGCGGGGGGGCTTCGCGGCGGCCGCCCCCGCCACCCCTGTCGCCCCCCCCCAGGGGGCGGGCTTGCGCCATAGGGTCTTAAGGAAAGGGGCGCGGAGGAGAGGAGAGGTGCCGAACGACCAGACGAGGAGGAGGAGGCGGAAGAGGATGAAGAGGAAGAGCTGGACCTAGACGTCCAGCAAAGCAAAGATCGAAACGAAATCCAGCTAGTAGAACAGGAAACGCCAATCAGACCAGAAATGGAGAAGGCAACCCAGGACAAGAAAGTCAGAGGTGGCCCTCCGACTTGTCCTGGGTCGCCCTCCCCAACTCTGGCCCAGGCGGCGTCTTGGCCTTAGGAAGTCCGCCTGATCCCCATTTGCGCCCCTGCGTCGGTCCCCTGCTCCCTCGGCCTCGCGGACGGATTATGAGGCGTCGCCTCGAGCGCCGACATCGGGCGGGAACAAAGGAGGCTGCGCGAGAAGCTCTGCCCGTGCAGGGGGGAACCTGCCGCGCCAATCCCGCCCCTCCTATCGCGCCCCCTCCCCCCACAAGAAAAAAACATGGAAGGGCAAAAAAGGGGAAAGGAAGGGCGGGCGGGAACGGCGCGGCAGTTTGTGACGCCCCCGCCGCCGAGGGCAAAGGCCCCGAGCTCGTGTTTAAGCTTCGATGGCGAGCTGCACGCGTTTGCGTGGTGCCGTCCCGGCTTGCGCAGGATCAAGCGCATCATGCAAAATAAAAAAAACACAATAGAAACACGCACCTTAAAAAACGAACGCCTGCAGGGAGATGAAGCGGGCCAATCCATCTCGGTCGCCCCCCTGCCCCCCTCGCCTCGTTGAGTGCGGGGGGTGCCGCGCGTTGCGGCGGAGAGAGGCGTCCTGGGGGGTGATCGGGATGGCTCAAATACCCCTTCGTTATCTGCAAGGCGCACGCACACAAGTGCACACACACACGCACACGCATATATATATATATATATATATATATATATGTGTATATATACACATAACATACATACGTAAACCTGTACATAGACATGCATACACTCGCATATATATATATATATATATATATATATGTATACATACGTACATGCATACATGCATGCACGCATGCATACATACATGCATTCATTCATACCTACCCTATGACCCCTACGAACCCTATGAGCCCCATGAGCCCTCTCGGCCCTATGACCGATATGAGCTCGATGAACCTCATGGGCCCTCTATGGAGCCCGAGCCCGATAGACCCTATGAGCCCTATGACCCCTACGAGCCCTCTGAGCCCCATGAACCCTCTCGGCCCTGTGAGGCCCATGGGCCCTCTGAGCGCTGTGGGCCCTCTGAGCCCTCTAAGCCCTCTGGGCCCTCTGAGCCCTCCGAACCCTAATGAACCCTGTGAACCCTATGAGCCCGATGCGCCCTACGCATGAGCCCTATGACGCCTATACGGGCCCTACGATCCCATACATGTATGAGCCTATGAGCCCTCCTATGATCCGAACCCTACAGCCCAGAGGGTGCCGCTAGAGTGCCCTAGCCTGCAGAGTTGGACGAAAGCTTGCTTGTCGTGAGAACGTTTCACGTTTCCCACGCAACATGCAACCTTATATAATGTCAAACAGGTCTTTCCTCTCGAATAGAACCAACATCTTGGATTGACGGAGTCTTACTGTTCCTTACAATCGCTTCAAGAAAACAATGCTTGTTTCGTGAAAAGATTCCACGGCAAAAAACAATGAGACTTTCAAAAATAAGTGGTTAGCCTTAGAGTTCCCTGCAAGGCCAACATCTTGTAATCAGACTGCGGAAACATTTTTTTATCGTACAACATGGTTTGAACGTTCGAAGATGCCACGAAAAAGAGCCATGTTAAGTTCATAATCTAGTTGTTCGCCAAGGGTGCCGCTGGAGTTCTGGCGCCACCATGTTTGTCAAATCAGATCTCTGCGAAAAAAATGTTTTCGAATATATGTTTCGTTCGTGAACAATTCTCACGAACAAAATCTTTTTTGCGTGAAAAGATTTCATTAAACAAAGCCATGTTACTTTCAAAATCTATTTTTTCGCCTTAAGGGCTCGGCTTGAGCTTCCAGGGCCAACATGCTGGGTTCTTCAAATCAGAGCTTCACGAAAATATTCCTTTTTCGCGCAGATTTCACACGAAAAAATCCTTTTCGTGAGAAATTTTTACTGAAGAAAAAAAAACCTTGCTTTCGTGAAACATTTTCACGGAAAAAAAAAACATTTCTTTCGTGAGAAATGTTCACGAAAAAGCAATGTTAAGTTCAAAATCTAATGTTTTGCCTTAAGGGCGCCGCTGGAGTTTCCAGGGCCAACATGCTGGGTTTTTCAAATCAGATTTTCACGAAAAGATTCCTTTTCGTGTAGACTCCACACGAAAAAAAACCTTTCGTGAGAAATTTTCACGAACAAATATTTTTGCGTGAAACATTTTCACAAACAGAAGCAATTTTTCGTGAAACATATTCACGAAAAACACATGTTAAGTTCAAAATCCAATGTTTTGCTTTAAGGGCGCCGCTGGAGTTTCCAGGGCCAAAATGCTGGGTTTTTCAGATCAGATTTTCACGAAAAGATTCCTTTTCGTGTATACACACAAAAAAAACCGTTCGTGAGAAATTTTCACGAAAAAAACATTTTTTCGTGAAACATTTTCACGAAAAAAAAAAAAAAACAATTTTTCGTGAGAAATGTTCACGAAAAAGCCATGTTAAGTTCAAAATCCAATGTTTTGCCTTAAGGGCGCCGCTGGAGTTTCCAGGGCCAACATGCTGGGTTTTTCAAATCAGATTTTCACGAAAAGATTCCTTTTCGTGTAGACTCCACACGAAAAAAAAACCTTTCGTGAGAAATTTTCACGAAAAACAATTTTTTCGTGAAGCATTTTCACGAAAAAAAATATTTTTTTTCGTGAGAAATGTTCACGAAAAAGGCATGTTAAGTTCAAAATCCAATGTTTTGCCTTAAGGGCGCCGCTGGAGTTTCCAGGGCCAACATGCTGGGTTTTTCAAATCAGATTTTCACGAAAAGATTCCTTTTCGTGTAGATTCCACACGAAAGAAACCTTTCGTTAGAAATTTTCACGAAACAGTATTGTTTCGTGAAACATTTTCAGGAAAAAAAGCATTTTTTCATGAGAAATGTTCACGAAAAAACCATGTAAAATTCAAAATCCAATGTGTTTACCTTAAAGGCGCCGCTGGAGTTTCCAGGGCCAATATGCTGGGTTTTCCAAATGAGATGTTCACGAAAAGATTCCTTTTCGTGTAGAATTCTCACGAAAAAAATCTTTCGTGCGAAATTTTCACGAAAACAAAAAAACATTTTTTTCGTGAAGCCTTTTCACGAGAAAAAAATAGTTTTGCTTAAGAATTTTTCACGAAAAAGCAATATTTCAAAATCGTTTTGCACCAGATATCTTCACGAAGCGAATCTCACACGAAAAATTTTTGTCGTGAGAAATGTTTTCGAAACAAACGCATTTTTTCGTGCGACCTCTTCACAACATAACTTTTATGTTAATTTCAAAAAAAAAAAAAAACGATTTTTTGTTTGCTTGCACGCCGCTGCAGACATTGCTTTTCGTGTAAAATTCGCACGGGAATTTGTTCCGTGAGAAATTCCAGCGGTATTCCGTGAGAAATAATGTTGGTTTGTTTTGCGAAATCGTCTCACCAGACAACATACATAAAACTCAGCATTTCTTTAAAATCTGAGCACCCGCATGCGAAAAAAAAACAACAGAGTTTGTAACGAACATAACTTTCGTCTTGCAACCTTTATCGCGAAACAATTTTCTTGGGGTGCGACAGCAAGCCGTGCATCCTGGGTGCCGTAACTTCACCGTGGCCACACCGCGCCTCTGCCATTTCTGAGCTGCAGCTCTCCCGAGGCGCTGCAGCTTGGCCCAGCCCAGCTGTCGATCCTCCAGGCAGCTTCGGGATGCGCCCCCTGTCCCCGGGAGATGCCATGGCCCGCATCCATGCCGCATCCAATGGCGGATCGTCCTCGAAGCTGACGCGGGCATGCCAGCAGATTCCCGGCCTCGACCTGGCCCTAGGCGCGACGCCCCGCCGGCGCCGTCGCCCTTCCGAACGCGACCCTGCAGACCGCGGCTCGAGGCGCAAGAGGGGGATTGGGCGCCCCAGGCGTCTACTCGGCCGCGAGAGGCCGACCAGCCTCCCGCCTGCTTGCTGGCGTCCCGCCATGCCCCAGTCGGCGAGGGCGCCCGTGGCCAGCGGGCCAGGCACGCCCGCGCCCTCGCGGCCCAGCTCGGCCGGGCCGCCGGCGTCGACGACGGCCCCTCTGGCGAGCTCGCGCCCCCGGCTGCCGCTGGCACCTCCCTCGCGCCAGAGGTGCCGCGAGCGACCTGCGTCGAGCCCGCCGCTGCCCGACCGCGGGATCGCGGCGCGTCTTGACTGCGCTCTCGAGGCGTACCGCGAAGAAACTTCAGGAGAACACGTACGGGGGCATAGCCAACTTGTTCGACCTGCGGTGCGCGACGGCCGGCACGGCGACCAACCCCATTCAGTTGCAGCTAGACGCAGCGGTGATGGGCCACCTGCGCGAGCAGTTCTCCCAGGGCCCCCCGAGCCTCGCAGGGCCCCTGCTGGCCGCCCCGACGCGTTGCGGCAGGGCCTGTCGCCCGAGGCACCGGAGCTCCCGCGCGCAAGGCGGGCCCCCCCGGGCATGGCGCAGGCGGCGCCCCATCGCTCGCGCCGGCCCCTTCCGCGGCCGTTCGTTGCGTTGGTAGCGAGCGCCCTCGTCGCCCAGACCTTTGGGATCGCGGCGGCCGCGACGCCCCATGCTTCGCGATCGGCGTCGCGGGGCGCGCGCGGGCGGGCGGCCTCCTGACCCGCCTCCACGCCGGCCGCGGCGCCGCGCTGCCGCTGCTCGACCTGGCGCGCGCGACCTGGGTTGCCCTGTTCTCCCTGGCCGCGGTCGACGCGAGCCTCGGCGCTCTGAGGCCGCCCGAGAAGAGCGGCCTCTTGCCCGCGCAACCGCTGTGGGCCCCCGAGATCGCCCAGCGCCGCGCCCCCGCCGCAGCGGCCAGCATCAACGACGGGATCTTGAAGATGCCGCCCATCGGGTGGTGCGGGGCGGGCGACAGATTACGCTCGAGCTTTTCTCTGGCTGTGGCCACGTTGCTAGTGCCTGGCGCCGCTCCGCTGTCCTTTAGATTTAGATGATCAAGATAGATATGCGCCATGGGCCTCAGTTCGACTAGCTTAATGACGGGCTCATGCGCAAAATTCGGGGCTGAACGCGCGCTGATCTGGTCGCGGCTGTCTGGCAGGCCCCCCGCTGCTCTTTCTGGGCCCCCTGGTGCCTTTTCTCGCCCGTTCGGTCCCGGGCCTCCCTTCTCGGCTTTCCCTCTCTTCCTCCTTCAGACCAGCGCGTCGTCAACCTGGCCAATCGGATGTTTGAAGTTGCTTCGAGCCTCCTCGACCTGTGTAGAAAATTAGGCGTCCCATGCGTTGTAGAGAACCCTCTCGTGAGCCTCTCGTGGAACGTGAAAACGTTCGAGGATCTAGCCAAGGCTCGACAGGTCAACGCATGTGTCACTGACTACTGCTCTTGGGGGACCCCGTGTCGCAATCGGACCATTTCTTTTGTGTTCGCATCTCGTGCAGTCATCTGGAAGTTGTCGAGACCGATGCGTCTGTTCTTATTGTGGCAAGCGGCACGTGGAAATCATCGGCAATCACCGTTGTGGCATCAAATGCAGCAACCTTGCATAGCCATACTAACAGTCGTTCTGCGCCGTTTTTGTTCGCTGTTTTGCTGACGCTCTCTCTCGCCCGTTCCTTAAGTCGTACGTCTAATATCAATATCGAAGGATGCGGCCAGAGTGTGCTTTGGAACAAAATTTGAGGTCGAGTTGCTGTGTGTGTGTGTGTGTGTGACCCCGCTGTCTGGCCTCATGTTTTATGCGTCCTGGCTGCCTGGCGAGCTTCTTTTGGAGTGGCGTTTTGGCGCGCACTTGGCCTTCAGTGAAGCAGAGCTAACATGCCAAGTGTTGATCACGTTCTTGTGAGTCTGATGTCTCAGGGATTGGCCGTCGGGGGTCGCGGCGTCTTGATCCGTGACCTCGATGGCTCAGGCGCCCACCCTAGTATCCCCCCCTGCGGATCTGCACAGAGGTCTCGGAGGTCGGGTTGCTTGGCGTGGGGTGCCCCACTGTCCGGCCTCTTGTTTTCCGTGTCCCGGCTGCCGGGTGAGTTTCTATTTGAGTGGCGTTTTAGCGCTCAGTGGGCCTTGAGGAAAACAGAGGTCACGTGTGTATGCAACTGTTCGTTCCTCTACTTCAAGGCATCAGCCCTGGAGACAGCGATCTTCAAGATGAGCTTGATGGGGGCCTCCTCGTCCTCCACCCTCAGGGGCCGAAGAGGAATGACGACTCGGAGCTAGCAGCCTCCAGTGCAGGGTCGATGCCGATGGATCTTCGCCCACGCTGGCAGATGACTTCGCGAGCAAAATCTGGAGGATTTGCTAATCGAAGCGCAATCGTTTCTGGGACTTCAGTGCTCCCTCCGTCCCCCCTGTGAAGAAGAAACAGCTGCGTAAACATAAATTTTCGGAGCTCCGCTCGAGTTTCTTGGATCGGCGCTGGCCCCGCCTCTTGGCGTGCCGGGTGCGCCAGGGGCGGCACAGGGGGCGCTGCCAGGGGGGGCCCGACGCCGATCCATGCAATCCGCGCGGCGCACTATTTGTGTTTCTGTGCAGTTGCAGTATTGTTTTACCTCCACTTCGGCTTAATTCCATTTAATCCAGCTTCATCCTGGGCTCAATCCAGCCCGAATCCGGCTCAATGGTACCTTACTCGGGCTTAGTAGCTTTTAGTCGTTCTGGCGAAAACCTCCCAGGAGTTGCCTCTTGATTTTAGTGATATTGATAAGGCTTCGGGTGGGAAAAGAGCTGGCCTGGAACAGAGACCGGCTTCGGCTGCCTCCTACTTCTTCCCCCCTGCCCCTCCTCCCTCCATCCCCCTCTCGCCCTTCGTCGTCGCCCTCCCTTCTCCGCGAGCCTTCGCGCTCCTGAGCCACACAGTGTTCCAGCGTGCACCTGGGGCAACCGCCGTTCTCTCGTAGGGCCGTCCTTCTGGACGTCTGTCGGCGCCTCGCCTCGCGCTGCCCCTATCTCCCCTCCACCCCGGGCCAGGCGTGCCGCTCGCAGCTGCTCGCGGTTGGGCGCGCGGACTGCCCGCGCCGGGAGCTGCCGGAGTGGCCCGAGGTGGGGGCCTCTGGGGCGGCCCTCGAGCGGCCCTCGGGGCCGTGGGCGAAACAGGAATCCATCTCCGCGGCCTCGTGGGCGGGGAACCTGGGCCGCGACCCCCCGGCGGATACGGGACGTTTTGATCGGGGGTGCCCCGTGTGGCACGTATCCGTGCGCTGCTTATGGGCGCGGGATCGCGCCCCGGAATCCAGACCGCGAGTGCGCGGACACGGGTATGTTCGCCGCTCGCGATCGTCGCCGGATCGAGGAGCAGCCTGCACGGCACGCGCACGCGCGCGGACTCGTTGGGTCCAGCGCGGGTCCGAGAAGTCCGCGCAGACATCCCCGAAGCTCTGGGCGCGTGCAGTTGCTTTTCTTTCCAGGCGGGGAGATCAGGGTGGGGGGCCGGCCCATTCGTGGGCGAAAAAGCAATCCGTATCCACGGCCTCGCGGGCCAGGCCTCTGGGCCAGACCCCTTCGATACGGTTGTTTTCTTCGCGGGTGCCCCGTGCGGCACGTATCCGTGCTACCGTGTATCCGCGGGATCGCGCCACGGAATTCAGACCGCGAGGGCGTGGATATAGATACGTCCTCCACTCGTAAGGGGGTCAGGCCCAGACATCCGACGCAAAGGTTTTTCGTCGTTTTCGACCTCCAGGGGCCCTCGCTGGGCCCGTGGACCTTCAAAATACGACTCAGGACGAAGAGCTGGCCTTTGGCAGAAGGCCTGTACTTCTCGGGACCCCGTGAGGAAAAGTTGGATATATATATATATATATATATATATATATATATGTGTGTATACACATATATATATATATATATATATATATATATATATATATATATATCCCGGGGGAGCAGGCCCGGGGCCCGAAAACAGCTGCCGCGACCCTCCATGGGAGGACCGGGGTTCATTTGTTTTTACAGGGTTTCCGCGTCCTGGGCCTCGGAGGCCGCCGTCTCCAACCCCCCATGGGAGGACGGGGCGGCCGGGGACCCCCAAGGTAGGAGGAGGAGGAGGGACAAGTAAGAAGGAGGAGAAGGAGGAGGAGGGGGAAGAAGAGAGTAGGAGGAGGAGGAGGGGGAAGAAGAGGAGGTGGGGGATGACAAGGAGGAGGAATGCAGCGCGAGGGAGAAGAGGAGGAAGATGAGGAGGAGGAGGAGGAGGAGGAGGAGGAGGAGGAGGAAGGAGGCATGAAAGGAGGAGGGAAGGAACGGACGATCACAAGGAGGATGAGCAGTCGGGTTTGGGAGATATGTTTTTGTGACAGGTTCTCGAAGGACGATTAAGGCCATCTTAGGGGGGGTGGCTCTCTTGGGGTCCCCGTGGGGCCTCTTGGGGCTCTTCTTGGGGGTCGTGGGGCCATCTTGGGGTTCCTTGGAGGCCCATGGCTCAAAAAGAGAGGGGGTAACACAATTCAAGCGTCTCTCTCGGAGACAGCAATTGCATTTTCGGGCCCTCCTGGGCCGCTCTTGGAGCGCTCTTGGGGCCCTCTTGGGCCCCTCCTGGGGCTCGCTTGGGCCGTCTTGGGCCCATAGTGAGGCCTCAACCGCCAATCGGAAGCAAAACAGCGAGAAGGCAACACACACATTAAACGGATGTTGGCCTCTTGGAGGGTTCCTGGGAAGTTGGGGCTGTTCTGGGGCCTCTCGGAGGCATGTATGAGGCTAGGTTAAACCATCTTCGGCTATCTTGAGCCATCTTGGAGGCCGCCTTGGGCTGCCGAGGGCCCTCTTGGAACAATGTTAGGCCCATATTGAAACTCTAACTAGCCGCCCCCCCCTCCAAGACCCAGGGGAGGGGGTAGGGGGAGGGGTCAAGACACCCCCTAGATAGTAAGCCGTCTAATTAGCTCACTCCCACCCGCCCTCCTAACACATTAGTAACACCTGAGCCTGAGCACGGTCAGCCGTCGATTTTGGATGGCCAGCTACTGGGAACCACAGCCGACCCCCAGGTGCACGACGCTTGGGCGAGGTGCGTCACGCGTGCCAGGCGCGCCACGCGCGTTAGGCATCCTTGGGGCCCGAGCGTGCCAGGCACGCCTGGTGCGCCAGATGCGCCACGTGCCTTCCGCGTTCGCCAAGTGTGCCGCACACTGCACCATGTTCGGAGCACGTGCAGAGTGCGTCAGGTGCGCCTGCGCACGTGACAGCACACATCGGGGAACATGTCGGCCCCCGCCATCCTTGTCGAACACCAATGCCCATCATTGTGTCTGGTGGGCCTGCGCACAGCAGGCCACGCGCCACCACCCCCGCCGTCCCTGTCAAAAACCACTTGACAGTGATCGCGGGACGGCCGCCCATGATCCAGATTTAGCCGCGAGGTGCATGTTTCATTGTTTTTGTCAGGGATGGTAGCCCTGCCCCGTCGCCCCTGTCAAAAACAACACAAAGTGGTCGCGGGCCTCACGAACATGACTCAAGACTTTGCCCCAAAGTGTATTTTGCATTGTTTTTTGACAGGGGGGGTGGGGGGGTCGGCGCATCGGTTTGGCCGCGCATGCTCCAAATGTGGAGGCAGAGTGCGGCTGGAATCGTTTTTTGACAGGGATGGTGGGGCGCGGGCCTGCATGGAGTCGGCATGGTTCCGGGTTGGCCGCCGGCCGGGTGGGGGTGTATATGAATCAGGAACAGTTATCAAGCTACCCACACGCCCCCCAGCCATCTAGCTCACTCCCACCCGCCCTCCCAACACATAAGTGACACCCGAGCCTGAGCATGTTCAGCGGTCGTCTTTGGATGGGCAGTTACTGGGGACCACAGCCGACCCCAGGTGCACAAAGCTTGGGCGAGGTGCGTCACGCGTGCCAGGCGCGCCACGCGCGCCAGGCACCCCTGGGGCCCAGGCACGCCTGGTGCGCCAGATGCGCCACGTGCCTTCCGCGTTAGCCAGGTGTGCCGCACACTTCAGCCGCGCCAGGTGCGCCACGTTCAGGGCACGTGCAGAGTGTGTCAGGTGCGCCTGCGCACGTGACAGCACACATCGGGGAACATGTCGGCCCCCGCCATCCCTGTCGAAAACCAATGCCCATTATATCTGGTGTGCCTGCGCACAGCAGGCCACTCGCCACCACCCCCGCCGTCCCTGTCAAAAACCACTTGACAAAGATCGCGGGACGGCCGCGCATGATCCAAATTTAGCCGCGAGGTGCATGTTTGATTGTTTTTGTCAGGGATGGTAGCCCTGCGCACGGCAGGGAATCTGCTGGCCCCCCCGCAGTCCCTGTCAACAACAATACAAAGTGGTCGCGGGCCTCACGAACATGACTCAAGATTCAAGACTTTGCCCCAAAGTGTACTTTGCATTGTTTTTTGACGGGGGTGGTGGGGGGTGGCCGCATCGGTTTGGCCGCGCATGTTCCAAATGTGGAGGCAAGGTGCGGTTTTGTACCGTTAGTTGACAGGTATAGTTGGGCGCGGGCCTGCATGGGGTCGGCATGGTTCCGGGTTGGCCGCCGGCCAGGTGGGGGAGGGGGTGTATATTAATAAGGAACAGTGATCAATACACCCTCCGAGATAGCAAGTCGTCTTGCTCACTCCCACCCGCCCTCCCAACACATAAGTGACACCCGAGCCTGAGCATGTTCAGCGGTCGTCTTTGGATGGGCAGCTACTGGGCATCAAAACCGAGCCCATGTGCGCGACGCTGGGGCGAGGAGCGCCACGCGGCCACGCGTGCCAGGCGCGCCATGCGCGCCAGGCACCCCTGGGGCCCGAGCGTGCCAGGCACGCCTGGTGCGCCAGATGCGCCACGTGCCTTCCGCGTTAGCCAGGTGTGCCGCACACTCCAGCCGCGCCAGGTGCGCCACGTTCGGGGCACGTGCAGAGTGTGTCAGGTTCGCCCGCGCACGTGACAGCACACATCGGGAAACATGCCGGCCCCCACCATCCATGTGGAAAACTAGTGCCCGTCGTTGTGTCTGGTGGGCCTGCGCACGGCAGGCCATACGCCACTACTTGACAGTGATCGCGCGGTGGCAGCGCATGATCCAGATTTAGCCGCGAGGTGCATTTTGTATTGTTTTTTTGTGTCAGGGATGGTAGCCCTGCGTGCAGCAGGCAATATGCGGCCCCCCCCCCCCCCCCCCGCCGTCCCTGCCAAACAACAATACAACGTGCTCGCGGACCTCACGGCCGTGACTCCAGACTTTGCCCCAATGGAGGCAGAGTGCAGTTTGCATTGTTGTTTGAAATGGATGGTAGCCCTGCGCGCAGCAGGCAACATGCTGACCCCCCGCCGCCCCTGCCAAGAAACAATACAAAGTGCTCGTGGGCCTCACGAACATGGCTCCAGACTTTGCCCCAGAGTGCACTTTGCATTGTATTTTGATAGGGATGGTGGGCGGGCCCTCATGAGGTCCTCATTGTTCCTGGTCGGCTGCTGGTCGCCTGGCGGAGGGGGTGTATATTCATAGGGAACAGTGATCAACCCTTCCCCCGGAGCAGGGAAGGAGGGGGGGGAGAAGACAAAACGGGTTAAACCACTTACACCCAGAGGGCTGATGAGACTTGCAGTGGGGAGGTAATAATCGAGTCGGCGCCTTGATGATGGAGGTCGCCTCGCGAGGGCGCGAAGATGACTGCGCGCCGCGCATTGTGGGGCGCGATGCGCGAAGTTAGGTGATCCAGGAGGCGGTCTCCCACACGGTGAATGCGGAGTCGGCATCGATCCTTGCCGCCACCACGCTGTCCCATCCCGAGCGGGGGGAGGCATGGATAGTGTTGATGTAGTCCCCCCCAGACCCCGGACACAAAGACTGGTAATCCCACGAAGGTGCGGGAGGGCGTGACGGAGGGAGATCCAAATGCTCCAGACTGCCAGGGAGCCAGCTTCTGAGTCTTGTTAATATGGCACCCTGGCGGAGGGCTACGGCAAGCTGCTCCGATTCCCGTTTGGCATCTCCGACATGAAGGCCCTCAAGCAGTTTGCGCGCGCCTTGTGGTGGCCAGGGTTCGGAAAATTATGGTTGGCGGCAGCAGAATGGTCGCAGACGTTTGTGGATGGCCTGGGTTGGTTAATCAGCGGGACGAACATGGCAATATATCATCACATGGAAAATACAGATGCCAGCGAGGAACATGGAGAACGACTAGCTCGCAGGAGGCATGCATCAGAGGCTCCCCAAGTGTGTTTTCGCTGTGTTCTCTCTGGCTTCGCGGAAAGTACCAAGGTGGCCTGATCGAAGGGTTCGGGGGCACGGGGGGGCCAGGCAATGTGCGTCATTTGCTTCTCCGAACGCATTATTGTATGAATAATTTATTGTTGGATGAGTTTGGCGGGCACGGATGTCCAGACTGCCACGAGTTTTGGCCTCGTGCGCATCATCACCCCGACACTCGTAGGTCCCGGGTCGGCTAAGTAGTTTCATGTACAATCGTCATCATAATTTCTTGCACCCTGGTCACTGAGCTCGTTTGCCCGTTCCCGCGTTCGACAGTCTGATCGAACCGCTCTAGTATCTAGTCTCCTGACCTGGTGGAAGTCCAAGAATTACCCATCGATTGTTGAAAGTATGTTTCATCTGGATTCCCAGATCCCAATCTACCTTTGGCGCCAACCTGTTTCAAGATGCAAGCGGCTTCCACTCTTACCTCCTATCCGTGGGGCGGGCGGAAGCCAAATCCACGTTCAACGCCTTCCGACTTTCTGTGTCAACCCACTTCTTCCGACCGATGGGTATCCGAGAGGTGTCGCAGGGCCAGGGGGAAACTGCAAGGAATTGTTATCACCATGGGCAGCTACGTTCTGCCGCTGGCGTCCTATGTCTTGTGGGGCTGGAGGTGCTGGCGCATGGCCGGTTGGCCCCTGCCAGCATCAGGACCGCGAGTCGATAGCCAGACATCAGGCCACCAGGGGGGGGCGCGAAGATAGCCGCGCTCTGCACACCGCGGCCTGGCCCGCAGGGTTGTACAGCTGGCACGAGGGCCGAGAGGAGCCCAAGCTTCGGAGGGGTGCCCCGGTGCTATTCGTGCTCGGGCTCTGCACCGTGGGCGTTATCCGTTTGGGGCATCTCCTGGGGGCTTTGGGCACTCGGCGACGGGGCTCGCGTCCTTACCTCGCGCTGCTGTGGCCACGTCTCGGCTAGACTTCTCCAGGGGAGAGTGCGGAGATCATCTCGCCCAGCGCTGCGTGGGGCGCGAGGACAGGTGAGCGACGCAAAAACATTGGTTCGACTGCGCGGACATTTGCGCGTAAATTCCTCGCGTAAGGTTGCGCGCAAGCGGCCTCGTATCCAATGTAGCGTGCCGTGTCAGGGGCTCGCTTAAGCCACCGCGTAAGGTCTCTACGTCATCTCGCGTAAGACCCGTTTTTTTATCGTCGCCCAGCTGGTGCGAGGTCAGGCGAGTAGAGAAGCGGACATGCCACGATTCCGCGGCTGCGATTCACCCACATCCGCTGCCTGGGACATCGATCTTCCTGGACCCTGGGAGGCGGTGGATCTGGATACTTTCGGGCCCCCTGGTCCCAGGACGTCGGTTCCCCGGGCGGTGGATACGGACTATTCCCGCCTCGCACCCTGGGGCAACCCGATCCAGCCCCATTTGCCAGGGTGGTTTTCTCATCCTTGGGCAGTCTGCTGATGGTCCCAATAGGACTCGAGTTGGGTCCCCAGAGGCCCAAAACGGTGGAAGAATGGACGTCTCGTCATTTGGTTCGTGACGCCGGATGTCTGGCGCCCTCTCGCAAGAGCCGTCAGCTGGGACCTCCTGAGGGGTGCGTTCTGGCCAGAATTTCGAGAGGCATCCGATCGTGACCATGAGGGCGCCCCATATCCCTCCTCAAAATCTAGCGCAAGTTTCTCTCGCGACGTGGCGGCGTCCCAGGACCCCCAATTCAAATGTTCGCGTCGAGACTGACGACTGCTGACAAAAAAACAAATCCCGCGGGCCGCGTTGCGAGCGTCGTCGATCAACATTCAAAACTTGCGCTTGATCTCGATGAGGGTTGCAGGACGCCCCGCACTACTGAAATTGGGCCTCCCTGGCCGAGCCAGGTTGGCGGACACACCGCTCCTGGGCCCAGGATGGGCCTGGCCAGGAGAGGTGGACCTGCATAGATCTCGTCGCCCTAGTTCTGGCAAGAATCTCGAGGGGAATCCAGTCGTGGCCACGAGGGCGCCCCAGGACGCCCCCCGCAAAGCAGAAGTTGCCAAGGCGCCTCGAGTCTCGGGGGGGGGGTCGCGGGGGGAGCGGCCTCCCACAGAGGCGGGGGGGGGACCGAGAAGGCGGGGGCCTCAGAAGGGCCACAGGGAACTTCTGGAGAACCGGCCACTCGCAGAGGGGGGCAGGGGGAGGGGGGATGACGATGACGATGGCGATGCCGTCATAGCCATCGTCATCATCATCATCATCATCATCATCATCATCATCATCATCATCATCATCATCGTCATCGTCATCGTCATCGTCATCGTCATCGTCATCGTCATCGTCATCGTCATCACATCAACATTATCGTCATCGTCATCGTCATCACATCAACATTATCGTCATCGTCATCGTCATCATCATCATCGTCATCATCGTCATCGTCGTCGTCATTGTCGTCATCGCCTTCGTCTCGTCGTCGTCGTCATCGTCATCGTGGCCTTGTCTGAAGATGTAAGGCCGGCGCCTTCTAAGAAGCAGCCTCCTGCTAAGAAGCCTTCCCCCCTCCCCCTACCCTCTTGTGCGCGCCGCCAGGAGAAGGCCTCCCAGCAGCCGCCACGTCTTCTCGAAAGTCAGCACGCTGCTGTTTGAGTGAGAGCCCGAAGCAAGGACTCCCTCGAGGGCGCGAGTTCAGCGCTTCGCGCTTCGGCATACCTCATCCTCCTCTTTTCTCCCCTGGGGGGTGGCGCAAGAGCGCGAAGTTATTCGCGCTTCGCGATTCGCGCAGCACGAAGCGCAAAGTTATGAGCCTCTGCAAAGCATGAGCAGTCGAAACGGACCCCGCGAGCTGAGAGGTCGGAAACTTACCGAGAGGCCGCACGCGAGGCCCCACTCTTCACGAAGACAGGCCCAAGCGACAGCAAGCAGTGACTCTCAGCAGCAAGCGGCAGCACGCAGCAACAAGCAGCACACGCAGCAGGCAGCAGCACACACGCAGCAGTGCGCAGTGCGCGAAGTTAGGTTCGGAGGCATGCCGGAGGACGGAACGAGAGGGGACCCGGCTTCTCAGAAGACCGCGGGGCTTCGGAGAAGGCTCAGGAAGTCCTCAGAGGGCCGGAGGCTTCCTGAGCCTTCTGAGAAGGTCCGCCCCCTCTGCCTTCCCCTCTGGGGACATCCAGCCCTCGGTCGCTGGGCCGGACGACTGGGCGAGGGGGGTCAAGGCAAACAGGGTTTTGCAACTGCTCTCAGAGGTGATCCGCCGTCGCGGGCGGAAAGCGTGAGTTGAAATTCGCTCCTCTAAACCTCCTGGAGCCTGAGAGCCGCGGCACGATAATGAGAAATCCGCCACCGCGCCCATCCAACCATCCAAAAAGCACCGATCAATGTAGCCTGGGTCAGAGCGGCTTCCCCTCGCCAGGGGGGGCGGCGCGAGGGCGCGAAAAATATCGCGAATCGTGGGTAGCGATGCGCGAAGTTAGGCGATCCAGGCGACCAAGACATCCAGACCTCGGTCGCACGGCCAGGTCTTGGCGCGATGCGTCCTGATCAGCCCCTGCCCTTGGCATCGCTCGGACGTGTGAGTTGTTTCTCGGCAGGGACCATCAAGTACCATTCTGGGTCATCCTGGGGAAAACATGCGCACAGAAACCGAAAAGTGCACGGGGAGTGGACATCCGAGCGATGGCGGGTGCCCCCCCCAGGCAGCCGGACGGCACGGCGGCCTCGCTTCCGGACGGCTGCACCGACCGGGGCTTCCACCACCGCAGGGGCACCAGGTGCGTCTCGGAGATGGTGGCCAGGGGCCTCCTTCCTTCGGGGGGCCGCCAGGAGGGGGAGTGATGACTAGTGATTATCGGGCGGGGCTAGGACGAGGATAATCCGTTCCAAAGCGTTCTGGAACGCTCTCACAGAGAGGTCTGAGAAGGTCGCGGCGCCCGAGCCTTCCTCCACAGCTGCTGGATCTCAGATATTATCTTGTTATGCTCACCCGGATCTATCTCATCATAATTATATAGCTTGTACGGCATTCAGATTTAGATTCGACCACGACGCTTCTCAGAAACTCCACAGGCAAGCTGTCGTACCCGGGTCGGCGGAAGCCTCTGGGTTGGTTGGAGCCACGTGGCCAGCAGCAGTAGCGGCAGTAGGAGGCGCCACAGGCTGCGTGGCGCCGCCGCTGGACGAGCTGCCTCCCCCCTGGCCTCCACCTGCCACCGCTGGGTCGGCTGCGACACGTTCAGCTTCGTCTCGACGAGCCCGCTTCGCCGATAAGCGATAGGCGCCGGCGCATCTCGCGAGCTTCCTGCCGCAGGGGCCGGATGCTGCCCACGGTCGGTCCAATTGTTGAGAGGATGGCCGCTTGTAGCTCCTTGCCAATGTTGACCTTTTGCTGCGTGTCCTTCTCCTCCACTTCAAGGTCGGTGAAGTCCAAGGGATCGCCATCCACGATCTCGACCGTGTCGACAGACTCGTCGCTGAGTATCTGGGAGAGGTTGATGTGCGAGGAGCCAGCGCCGACTCCGCTCGATGCATCACTGCGGCCATTCCTGCTGGGAGTCCGTTCTCCCGCGTTGGCGAGCTCCATCGCGAGCTCATCCTTTTACGCCTTGGACGCCTCTGCTGCTGCAACAGCCGCCGCAGCTGTCGCTTCCTTGCACTCTTCGAACCAGCGCTGCGCCTCGCCCTCCGTATCCACGCAGCTCTGGAGCCACGCCTGCGCCTTGCGGCATTCCAACCCCCCTGACCGAGATGGAAGCCTCGAGCAGCTGACGCTGCGGCTTGCTGCGGCCCCAAGGCCCCCCTCCTGCACCTGGAGCTCCGCCTGGCCAGTGCCGCTGGACCCGACACGAGTCCCGAGCTGGGTCGGGAGGTCGGAGGCGGCGAGCCCTCCATCGCGGGCCCGCGAGCCCTGCTGAGGCGGCGTGGAGGGCCTCGGCAGCCCGACGCTTGGCGGCGGAGTCCCCCGCAGCCACGCGCCTGGTGGAGCGGGAGGCGCCGCCGAGCCCCCGGCCGCACGTGGCCAAGGCACGTGGACGAGTCGGCGACCACACTCCCGGACCCTCGCGCCGAGGGACCTCCTGCGGGATGAGCGTGGCCCCGCACTGGAAGCAGAAGGCCCTGGACTTCCACGTCCACCGGTTCCGACACGCCGAGCACGGGATGTAGTTCTTGGCATCCTTTTTGCCCATGGGCTCCGCTAAGGGCCAGCGAGGGAAACAAGAGCAGACAGTTTCCCTAAGAGGATGACGCTCCTGGCAGGAGCTCGCAATGTGTAACGGCCTCAACTTGTCGTCCAGGGATCGCCGGTGGGGCCCCCCCTCGCCACTTCTCAGATCTCTGAGCCTCCTTGCTTTGGCCACGGAGGGGGGAGGGAGGAGGACGGAGGAGGGAGGAGGACGGAGGAGGGAGGAGGAGCACTAGGAGGGAGTTGGAGGAGGGAGTTGGAGGAGCAGGGAGGAGGAGGAAGGAGGGGGGGACGAGGAGGGGGAGGAGAGCGGGTCAGCAGGTGGGCGTGCACCCGGTCGGCGGCGAAGGGCACCGTTGGTCCGCCCAGCTGTGGGCGGACGCGCAGGACGTGGCCGCTCTCGCCTGGCGGCTTTCGGTGGCATTCCCCGCCTGGGGCCTTCGCTCCACTGCAGCCCGCCCTCCGGGGTCGCCTACGACCCGATTCGATGCGGTTCGATTCGGGACGGTTCGCTGGCGATCCGACCCGGCCCGATCTCGCGATTCGGTCGAGCTCCGGCCCACCCTCTGGGAGGGGATCCGGGTGGCGAACAAGCACATCCTCCCCGCAGTTGCGAATGAGAGTGAGGTTCGAGATTTGAAGGGCTCCGAGTCTTGAGGGCTTCAAGGTTTTCGGACGCATTCGTTGGTTCAGAGGTGTTCCAGCCTCTGGATGCCTTCAGCGGCGTTCCAAGGGTGCCCGGATCGTCCCGCATGGCCGCTGGAGAGCCAGGTTATGACCCGAAAACCAGGTTGCAACGTTTTTTGCGGGTAGGCTCTAGGGCTCTAGGGGGGGCGCATCGACCCCCAATCGCCCATTCATCGCCGACAGGGCACCCCTCCCAGCAGCGTGCGGATTCGCTATCGGGGGCATATCGCCGATCTATCGGTGACGTGTCGCCGACTCCAGCCCGTTGCTCCCCACCCTGAGTCGGTTCCCCATAACATCCCCCCTTCATGAAAAGGGGACGAGGCTCGAAAACAAATCTGAAGAAGCCCGCCGATTGGGGGGGTCGCGGGCTGGTCGCGGGGTTCGCCCCAGGATATGTGTTTGTGGTGGTTCTTGAATGTTTTCTCGCCCAGGGATGCGTTCCAGTAGGGTCCTGAGGCTTTTCGCCGTTTCCGGCTTCTCTCGCGGATCCATTCCGTGCTTGGGCTGCATCTTGCTCGAGGCGATGGGAAACCCATCAGTTCCCCCAAGTTCTCTTTCTCCACATAAAGAGTTTCCCTGAATCTTGGTGCAAAAAGGGAACGACAAAACCACAGGGATGCTTCCTTCCCTCGTTGTCGCCTTTCTGGGGCTCTCGGGGGGGCCTCGCTTTCACGGCTGAATTCGCATCGGAATCTTAGTCAGAGCGCGTCCAGGATAGGTCCAGGGAGCATTGGTAGCGCTAGATTGTTTGTTCTCACTATACCCTGAGATCCAAGCGGCGCATTGTTTCCGCAGCGAATGTTTGCCTGTTTTCAGGCCGCCTTCTGGCTTTCACAGAGCAGTCGGGCTCGAGAAACGCCGCAGCAATATGGGGTCCCCCCCATCCCCCGTCAGGGAGGAGAAAAGGGGAGGGAATCGACTTAACTACGACGTTTCTTTTCTTTGGTGCTCAAATTCCTTGGGACTGGCGACGACGACGAAGACGACGACGAGGGCAAAGCCTCTCGCACACGCCGAGCGGATTCTTGACGATGCTGTGATTTGTTCACGGCGTTGGATCTCAGGGTATTTGGTGCGCCCCCAAACAGCCAGGACGAACGGTCTACGCATTCGTGAAAATTTTCTGGCCCCTTCTGGGTGCATTTTGGCGGCCGGACTTCGCCGAGACGTCCTTGCAATGGCGCGAGGATCGTCCCGAGATCTCTTCTCGTGCCCGGCTTGGGGCCAAAGAGCCTCGGGTCTTCGTGGCCCCGAGCAGAATCAGTATTCGGTGCGGCAGGCTCGCGCCGCGCAGACGCGGCGGCGGCCCCAGCGCGGGCGTTCCAGGTTGGACGCTGCCGGTTTGCGCTACTTGCCCGAGTGCCGCGACCGTTCTAGGGCAGGTGGTCTTCGCGGCTGCCACGCGGTGTCAGAAACCGAGCCCAGCGTCGTCACGACGTGAATGTGCCACACTAAACGTTCTTGGATATCTGAGGTGTTTGGATATTGTTCTCCTTCCTGGACGTTTTCCGACGCCGAGGTGATCGTCTTGCAATTGTGCCCAATTATTGAAGAGCTCCCCGCAGCTGTTAGGAATCGCCCCAAGCGGCCGCCTGAGGTCCAGCTGGTTTCGGCCCCAAAGCTGGGCGCACGTGCGTGAGGCGATTCGCCAGCCCCCGCTTTGCTACCCCCTCTTCTGTCCGACCCGATTTGAGCATAGGATTGGTGCCTTGCGCACGATAACTGCACGGGCATAATGCTCTACGTGGGCGCCCACGCGATGAACTGCCACTACTGGTGCGGACGGCCGCAGTTCTGCGACGGCCCAATAGGCGCGCCTGGGCCGGAACATTCTCTTCCTCTCCAGACGCCCAGAATCGCCCCAGAGGGCTCGGGGCGGCCACCCTCAATGAGTTCGGACACATTACAAGGGTCCTAAACGAGGCCTGCAGGGCTCCAAGCTGGCCCCATCACGCCCATCGTCGCTCCGATGCGGGCTCAGGGAGCCACTGAACAACGCGGTGCTTCCAGCTTCTCCAGTTTTTCCAGTTTTCCCAGAGACTACCCCAGTGAAAAAAAGCTGAAGTTTCCAGCTGTTCCAGTTTCCCAAAGACTACCCCAGTGAAAAACGCTATGCTTTCTAGCTTTTCCAGCTGTTCTCCCAGTGAAAAGCGTTCCGTTTTCCAGCTTTCCCAGTTTTTCCAAAATATGACCCCATTTACAAACAATGTGGTTTCCAGCTTTTCCAGCGTTTCCCATCGACTACGCGGCAGGGTGGTCCAGGGTGGTCCAGGGTAGTCTCTGGGAAAAGCTGGAGGAGCTGGAAAACACATCGCTCTTCATTGGGATGGTCTTTGGGAAAAGGTGGAACACACAGCGTTTATCATTGGGGTAGTCTTTGAGAGAAGCTGGAAAAACTGGAAAACACAGCGTGTTGCACTGTGGCAGTCTCTGGGAAAACTTAACAAACCAGAAAAGCTCGAGAACACATGGTTTTCAGTGGGATAGTCTCTGGGATAAGCTGGAAGAGCTTGGAATCATAGCGTTTTTCGTTGGTGTAGTCTTTGGGAAAAGCTGGGACAGCCGGGGAAGGTGGAAACACACAGCGTTTCGTTCTGACAGAGGCAAAGACAGATAGAGAGAAACACAAAGTGAGAGGGACGGATAGAGAGAGCGAGAGAGAGAGAGAGGGAGAGAGAGAGAGAGAGAGAGAAAAAGAGAGAGAGAGAGAGAAAGAGAGAGAGAGGAAAACAAACAAATGGGAGACGAAGACGAATCAGACCAGGATAAGAAGGAGTATGTGTGGTCTTTGATGGGGGGACATCTACATAGATGTGTGTGTGTTGGGACATACGTATGTATGTATGTATGTATATATATATATATATATATATATATATGAGGCCTTTTGGGAACTTCTTGAAGGCATTTCGGGGGGAGCCTGTCGAGGGCTTGCTGGGGACTTTTTGCGGGCCTCTTGGGGCCTGGCTTGGGCCTCTTGGATTCTCGGGGGCCTCTTGCGGCTTCTGGGGGCCCTCTTTGGGGACTGCTGGCGGTCTCGGGGGTCATCTTAGGGCGGAAGGCTCGAAATATCGGATCGCGTTCCCCCTCTGGTCCTCCCCCTCCTCGTCCGTCCCCATCCTCCTTTTCGTCCGTCCCCATCCTCCTCGTCCTCCTCCCCTCTTCTTTCTCCGCGCCTCACCCGCCCCCCTCCGCCGCCCCCCCTTCCCCCCCCAGTTGGCGACGAGGGCACGGAGTCGAGCGGAGAGTGGAACCTCTTCGCGAGGGGCGGACCCGATGGCGCATGCGGCGAGGACCCGGCCCGTCGTCGTCGTTGACCTCCTCCTCTCCCTCCTCCTCCTGTATCGTGCTGTTTTCCTCCTGAGCTTCAGATGTTGATAAGGCAAAGACTTCTCAAACAGGCGATTGATATTGAGAAGTTGCTCCAGCTCACGTCCACTGCTCCAGCGGCATGGTGTGGCATTGCTGCCAAGACGTGGCTGGGCGCGTGGATTACCAAACAGCGGGAAGCTGGGTGTATTTACGGATGCCCAGACGTTCGTGACCATGTTCAACACTACGTTTGTTCTTGTGCGAGACTGCACCACTTCATTGCCAACGCATTACGGATGGATCTTCTGCGTCCGTGGCAGGGCGTTTGGGTTCACTGGATCATTGTTATTCGTGGTGGCCATGAATCATTATTTACGAGCTTAGCGGCCATGAATCATTATTTACGAGCGTAGCCCGTAATTGATTTTCAGGAAGTAGACTCAGTGACCGACTGGCAGAACTCAACATTGAGTCACCCAAGCCGTCAGAAAGCAGCTTTGTGTCCGGGGATGAGGATGTTTCGCTGGTCGTTCTGAGTCAGGGAGTTGAGGATATTCCGCTGGCAGTTTTAGGCCAGATTGGTGAGGACATTTCGCTGGCAGCTTTAATTCAGGGCGGTGAGGATATGTCGCAGGCAGTTTTAAGCGAGGGCGGTCAGGATCTTTCGCTGGCAGTGTTAAGCGAGGGGTGCTAGGGCATTGCGCTGGCAGTTTTACACGAGGGCTGTGAGAATATTTCGATGGCAGTTTTAGGCCAGGGGCGTGGTAATATTTTGCTGGCAGTTTTAAGCGAGGGCCGTGAGGATACTTCACTGGCAGATTTCAGTCAGGGGGTGAGGATATTCCGCTGGCAGTTTTAGGCCAGGGGCGTGAGGATATTTCGCGGACGTTTTTTAACAAGCGGTGTTGGGATATTTCGCTAGCAGTTTTATGTCAGGGCGTTGAGGATATTTCGCAGGCAGTTTTAAGCCAGGACGGTGAGGATCTGAGGCTGGCAATTTTCAGCGAGAGGTGTGATGATATCTGCCTGGCAGTCTGAAGCGAGGGCGGTGAGGATATTTTATTAGCTTTCACTGGCAGGTTTAAGTCAGGGGGGTGAGGATACTCCGCTGCCAGTTTTAGAGTAGGAGCGTGAGGACATTTCGCTGGCAGTTTTAAGCGAGGGGCGTGGGGATACTTCACTGGCCGTTTTGAGCGAGGGATATTTCGCTGCAGTTTTTGGCGAGGTGTGTGAGGATATTGCGCCGGCAGTTTGAGTCTGAGTGCCGAGGAGACTTCGTTGGTAGTTTTAAGCGACGTGTGTGAGGATATTGTGCGATATTGCGCGAACAGTTGTAAGTCAGGGCGGTAAGGATATGTTGTTTGCAGTTTTAAGCCAGGGGGTGATGATATCACTGGCAGTTTTAAGTAAGAGGTTTGATGATATTTCGCTGGCAGTTTTGAGCGAGGGCTGTGGGAATATCTCGCTGACACTTTCAAGCCAGGGGCGTGGGGATATTTCGCTGGCAGTTTTAAGCTAGGGCGGTGAGGATTCTTCGCTGGCAGTTTTAAGCCAGGGGTTGAGGATATGTCACTGGCAGTTTTAAGCGAGGAGTGTGAGGATATTGCGCTGGCAGTTTTAAGTCAGGCCGGTGAGGATATTTCGCTGGCCGTTTTCAGCAGGGCCCTGCCTTGCCCAGCCGAAGGCTGCGCATCAAGCGCGGTGCTGCGTCCGTATATATGCTCGCCCCTTGGCGTGGAGCTGAAGGGGGGCCAAGGGGCGAGCTGTCCGTTGTTTACCTTCTTGTTTCGCATGCGTACTCCGAGCCGCCCTCATACCCGCAGGCGGCATCATCATCATCATCGTCGTCGTTGTCGTCGTCATCATCATCATCATCATCATCATCATCATCATCATCATCATCATAAGCATAAGCATAAGCATAAGCATAAGCATAAGCATAAGCATCATCATCATCACCCTCATCATCATCAGCATCATCATGATTATCATCATCATAATCAGCATCAGCATCAGCATCAGCATAGCATCATCAGCAGCATCATCAGCATCACCATCATCATCACCATCACCATCACCATCATCATCATCATCATCATCATCATCATCATCATCATCATCATCATCATCATCATCATCATTAACAACAGCATCATCATCATCATCATTATCATCCGCATCGTCATCAGCATCGTCATCGTCATCGTTATCCTCAATCATCACCTTCATAATCATCGAGATTCGATGCCGGCTTCGCGATTCGATGCCGGATGCTCCCTGCCTCCCAGGACGGGGCCAGCGAGGGCGCGTCAGACGTTGGCCGCCTGCCCGAGGCCGCGGGCGAGCAGTGAGCCGCCCCTCCCGCGCGGCGCGCGTGCCGTACCTCTGCGTGGAGGTTGGCTGCGTGGCGGTTCGAAGGTAGGAATTCGAGGCGAGGATTTATACAGAACCACCGCCTGGAGGATCGATGTTCGGAGATTTCGACAGGCGGTGCACATAGACATACTCGGGCCCCCTGGGGCCCAAGTATATCCACATCCACTGCCCGCTGGGGTCCCAGGGCGTCGGTTCCAGAGGCGGTGGGTCTGGACATATCTCCACCTCGCAAGCAAGTCGGTACGATGGAAATGGATAGTGGAAGGGTGGGTACGAAGGCCGGCAGCAGCCACTGTCCATTTGAGCAGGGTTAGCTGTCGGAGTTGCCGTGGACGTCGTCTTTTCGAAGCAGGAGGCCGCTTGTCCAACAGCGGCCGCTGGTGGTTTGGGACAACATTTGTTGTTGGGCATCGTTTCCATTTTTCCCGTAGCCATTTGCGGACAGGGGAGGATATACATCGGGTCCAGGATCGGCGCTCTCAGAGCGTTTCGGAGCGCTCTGGAACCGCCGCGGCGCACTATACAGCCTCCAGCGCCGCCAGGTCTCAGAGATCCTCGAGTTGCTGGTCCGATTCTGTCTCGATTCTAGCTCCGTCTGATGGCCGCACCGGCGCGCAGGGGGGCTGCGGGGCGGGCCCCAGAGGAACCCAGACCTTCAGGGGTGCCACTGCCAAGGCGCTGGAAGAAGGACCACTTTGGGCTCAGGAGGGGCTCTGGCTTTCGGGCTGCTCCTTTTCTGTAGGTCGGGGGACCCCTTCGTGGCCGATGCTCGCTGAGGCTGGAGAAGCCCGTTCGTTCCTCGTGCAGCGTTCCTCATGGTGGCACGATGACTGTAAGCTCGGGGTAGGCGGGACCGCGGGGCGGCCCGAAGGCGGGAAGGTCCCAGACCTTCAGTCGGGGGCGGCCAAGAGAGGGGGGGGATGTCATGGCCAGGGCCAGAGTACCCCCCTGGGTCTCATGACCCATCTTCTTCTTTTCAACACGTCCGCGCACATGCCTCGGGCCATGATTTCTGAACCTCCCTCCCCTTCCCCTCGTGGACGCCCCCAGCTCAGGGGCAACATTAGAGCGGGGATAGGCTCGACAACGTCAGGGGAAGGGGTTCGAGGTTTGCCGGGGTTGGGGCGAAGTCGTTTTCGTCGGGATGCCTTCCAGCGGCTGAGCCTCGCCGAGAGGGTTCCGGGGGTGCCTGGGTCGTCCCGAACGGCCGCCAGTGGCCAGAGAATCGAGTGCAGATCTCAAAGCCAGATCACGCAGGATTGGGGACAGGTTCAGGGGGGATGCACCGACCCTGGGTCGCCCATTCATCGCCGATTGGGGCCCTATGGCTCGCCCCGCCAGGGAACGTGCAGATTCGCCATCAAGGGCCTATCTCTATGGGGACCGAGTAAACGGGATCGGAGGATCGCTCCGCATCGCCGATACATCGGCGATGTGCCTCCATGTGGAACCAGACTTTCGCCACGCCGACGGCGCCAATACATCGCCGAAGTCTCCGATTCGGCGATGCGGCGCGATCCTTCGACATCGTTTATCCGGATCCCATCTTGGAGGCCTCTACTATCGCGGGTCTTCTGGAGATGCATCGAAGATTCCAGGTCGACGTCCTCACACCCCCGAGCTGGTCTTTCCCTAGCGTTGCCCCTGGCAGGGGACCAGTGTGGCACTGCAGCCGGCCTGAGGGTCCAGAGCATGGTGATGGCGATGGGGATGGTGACGATGATGATGTTGATGATGATAACGATGATGTTGATGACGATGCTGATGCTGAGGATGATGCTGATGCTGCTGTTGATGATGATGCTGTTGATGATGATGATGATGATGTTGATGATGACGATGCTGATTGTGGTGGTGGTGGTGCTGCTGATGATGATGCTGCTGATGCTGCTGATGATGATGCAGATGATGATGCTGACGATGATGATGATGATGATGATGATGATGATGATGATGATGATGATGATGATGATAATGATAATGATAATGATGATGATGATGCTGATGATGATGATGATGTGCATGATGATGATGATGATGATGATGATGATGATGATGATGATGATGAGGATGATGATGATGATGACGAGGACGATGATGATGGTGACGCTAATGGTGATGATGCTGATGATCATGATGATGCTGATGCTGACGATCGTGATGATGATGATGATGATGATGATGATGGTGACGATGATGGTGGTGATTGTGGATGATGTTGGTGGTGATGATGGTGGTGATGATGATGATGACGCTGATGATGGTGATTCTGATGGTGATGATGATGCTGATGCTGATGCTGATGATGATGATGGCGATGATGATGGTGATGCTGATGGTGATGATGATCCTGATGCTGATGCTGCTGATGATGATGATGGCGACGATGATGGTGGTGGTGGTGGATGATGATGTTGGTGGTGATGATGTGTTGATGATGATTATGATGATGATGATGGTGATGGTGATGATGATGATGATGATGATGATGATGATGATGATGATGATGATGATGACGCTGATGCTGACGCTGATGATGCTGATGCTGATGGTGATGATGATGATGATGCTGATGCTGATTCTGATGTTGATGCTGATGCTGATGCTGAGGTCCGGTTCGAGTTAAATGGCCGGTCTGGTTCGGCCGCTCCGGTTCGGCCGTTCGGTTCGGCCGGTTCGGACGGGTGGTTCGGTTCGGCCGAGGGTTTCTGGTTCGGCCGGTTCGGCTCCCAAGCACCTCCAGAACTCTGTTCCGATTCCGATTCCGATTTTCCCCTTAATTCCTATGGCTATGCCCATGCCTATGCCTATGCATCCCCCCAAACTCCTGTGTCTACGCTTACGCCTATGCCTGCATGCTTGCTCGCGCGCTTGCGCGCTTTCGCGCTTGCTTGCTTGCGCGCTTGGCTGCGCGTTTGCTTGCTTGCTGAGTTGAGGATTCCAAGTACGCTTGATTCCTCTGGTTCCTCGACTTGAGGCGTCTCACTACTTGGAGCCAACGCTGGCTGATAGGATGTTGTTGATGACGATGTTGGTGATGATTATGATGACGGTGGTGATGGTAATCATGCTGATGATGATGATTATTATGGTGGTGGCGGTGATCATGATGACGGGAGTACTGACGATGGTGGCGATGTTGATGTTGGTAGTGACGCTGCGTTCGACGCCGGTGATCCTGATGAAGATGAGGATGAGGAGGATAATATATGATATGCTGATGCTGATGCTGATGCCGATGCTGATGATGAGGTTGATGATGGCGATGGTAATGATGGTGATGGTGATGGTGATGGTGATGGTGATGTTGGTGGTGATGATCACGATGATACAACCGTCGTCAAAATTAACTTCAAACATGTCTTACGTGGCTGAACTGTTTGTGGGGAGATACTGGACAGAGCAGCGATGACTGCGAGGTACTTGTATGCGCCGTCTCTCCAATGGCGGTCATCGTCGAGTTTCCGAGTCGTTCCTGGTCAGACCACCTTTGCCCTGGCCCCGACATTGGAGGGGCGTCTATCGACATTGACGGGCGCGTCGACATCGCAGGGGCGCGCTTGCCAGTTTTGATGTGAATTTTGACGAGGGTAGTAGCGCGCTTACGCGGCGCCGTTCGCCCGCGAATCCCCGTAAGGCCGATCGGCCGCGGCATCTCGCCGGCGCTGGCTCCTCTTCCAAACCAGTGAGTCGGATGCGCGTAAGAGTGACCTTTCGCTGGAGCGACCCTGGATGCGGGCCCACATGGGTTCCACGGTGCCCCCAGCACCGGCCTGTGCGCGTGAATCTGGCCTCCCGGTGGATCTATGAAGCCGCGCACCAAAAGTCATTGGCCAAGGGTCAATCGTGCGTGTAGTCGAGTGACGGTGTGCTGCCCTTTGGGGCGCCCCCGTCCCAGTGTTCCTCGTGTTCGGGCCCTCCACCTAGGACTGCTTCCTCCTGGGCATCTCCACGGGGCCTTGGACCTTCGGCGAGGGGGCCTCTGCTTGCGGCCCACGCTCCCGTGTCCAATTTGCTCCGAGGAGGAGGAGGAGGCGGACGAGGAGGAGGAGGAGGAGGAAAGGGATGAGGGGGGAGGAGGAAAGAGAGGGGGGAGGAGGCGGAGAAGGCGGAGGAGGAGGAGGAGGGAGGATGGGGAGGAGGGTGAGGAGGGGGAGGAGCAGGAGGAGTAGGAGGAGGAGGAGGAGGAGGAGGAGGAGGAGAAGGATGGGGTCGGCTGTTTGCCCACCCTCGGCTGGTGATTCGATTCATCTCGTCCGATCCTGGCGTTGCCCAGCAGGTCTCGTGTTCATTCGCGGGGCTTCCGATGCCTGGGCGGGTGGCACGAGGATCGGGACCCCATTCCGACCTGCCCAACCCTCCAAACAGATGTTGCCGCATGTATGCGGGCACTGGTGTCGGCCCGAGTCGACTGCTACTCATCCTCTTGATCGGTATCGCCCCATCGCTCCCTTATGCGCCGCAGGATCTCAGCAAGGTGGGCCACGTGGAGCTGCCTGCGTGGGCACGCGATGCCTACCATTTCGTGCACGAGCACCATGCGGCGCTGGAGAGTGCTCCAGTGTCGAGGAGACGTGCGAGGTGGGTGGGGGTGAGCTCAACTGATGGCTGTATGGGGAGTGCACAGATTATTCGCAGAAAGCTCCGGCTGCCTCCTCGACGCCAGGGGCCTCAATGAACAGGTTGCCTGGGCGCTCCATGCAGGGGCTTCCAGGGGCTGTTCAGATGCGAGGATTCCAGATTCCCTTCGGGACGCGTCCCTACAGGAACCCTCGGAAGGCGCCGAGGGGCATCGCGGAGCCTCCCGTGAGCTTCTTGGGGCAATCCAGGGGCCTCCAGCGGCCTCCAGCTGGGCCCTGGGCAACCTCAGGGACGTGGCTCCCGACCGGCTTCAGGCTTCAGGTGCATCCACGAGCGGCCCAGTGGTTTCTAGAGTCTTTCCTGTGCCTCCAGGATCCATGGGATTCAATGGATTCCCGTAGCCTCCAGAGCTTCAAGGGATTCCATGGACTTCACCATTGTCTTCATGTTCATCGCCAGCGTCTCCACCTTCCGCGCATCTGTGAACTTCAGAGCCCGTCTGCAATCATCGGGTGCTCACAGGGAACAGGAGGCAAGGATTCAATATATGGTAGTGGAGTTGCCAGCGCTTGTTAGATTTGCGCCGCTTGGACCAGCTTGGCCTAAGGCAGACTAACCTCTAGAAGTGCACGAGGCCAGGTACTCTGTACGGGTATCAGCGCTCATGGTCCAGTGCACATGGCGTTTTGCATGGATACCCTCGTGATTACACAACATAATGTGCTTACGTTTGCACGATCGCACTGCCGTTATACATCAGTCATCGGTATTACAGATCCCCTTTCGCGCGTGCCAAATGGATCGCGCAACGACAGCTTAACAAACGCAGGCTGTGCATGTCGCGGCCGTTTAGCACAACAACGATCGCACAACACAGGTTTCATATCATTCTTGATGTCACCATGATTCGGACTGTCGAGGCTGGATGTTTCTGTGCGCTTTCAACTGCCGTCGTTGGATCCTAACATGCTCCCCTCAACTGTAATTTTCCCTGCGCGATGCCCACCTAGCAAAAACAAGTTGTAGGTACTCTGAGTACGCCAGGCGTTTACGCAACAACAGTGATTATCGTGTTGTGCATCATGGTTCGTTGTCGTGCTAGGAATAATGCACGTCCACATGCAGAGAATGTGACTTACCGTAAGGGCTTCGCCAATTGCCGTCGACCACCCTTCTCTTAGAATGGGTCTTGCCAGAGCTAAGTTGGAATGCAATGGCTCCGTCGTGAAGCAATGTCGGAACTTCACGCGAGGGTCAATATCGTACGTCACGGCTTGCACGGCAAAGTTGAAACACATCTCTCGGATTCTGACGGTTCGCTCTGCGAATTTGCTAACAATCGTGGTTTCGGGATGTGAACATCGAGTAACTCTTGAGGTATCGTGGCCTCGGAGACGCGATTGTTGGTACTTTCCAACAAAGGATCGTGGCCTCGGTGATGCACGTGTCGCTCAATTCACGATGGCTCATTGCCTCGAGGACGCGAAGATTCGTAATTTAACTTGGGATCGTGGCCTCGGGGACGCGAATATTGCGTAAAGAGGGATCGTGGCCTCGGGGACGCGAACATTGTATAATGTTCGAGGGACCGTGGTCTCGGTGACGCAAAGATTGTGTAATTGTCATCGGCATGGAACCTCGAGGACGCAACTATTGCGTGATTTATAATGGTTAAAATGGCTGCGAGGGCGCAACAATTGTTTTTGGGACGCGAATCTTGACTAATGTTCGGGGGATCGTGGCCTCGGCGGGGCGAATATTGCTTAATTTACACGGGATCATGGCTTCGGTGACGAACATATGGTATAATTGTTTTAATGATTTGTGGCCTCGAGGACGCGAACATCGTGTAATGTACAAGGGGTTATGGTTTCGAGGACGCATACATTATGTAGTTTAGTATGGATCGTGGCCGGGGATTGTGGCCTCGGGCACGCGAATCTTGCTTCATCTACAACTGTTTGTGGCCTCGGAAATCCGAACATTGAGGACTTCACGAGGGTGTATTGCCTCGGGGGCCCCCAGGAATTCTGAGACCACCCCGAGTGCGTGGTGACAGTGTGGTTTGTCCCCCCCCTCGCACGGATTCTATCAATTTAGTAGGAAGTGGAAATTTGGATTACAGAGTGGGAGACTTGCAACTGGAACTGGAGCAGGAAGCAGCATTTCGAATCCGCGCAGCCTGGTGGCTCCGCAAGAGGGCCGGCGCATATATGCCATGATGGCAGTGTTCGGTTGCATTTTGTTGCCCAAGAGAAACAAGCAAGCTTCCGCTCACCATTCTGCCCAAGAGGGGGTGGGGTACCACGAGCATTTCCAATGTTCTTGTCTCAGCGGTTGCCATCTGTCTTTCTGCAGGACTTTGCACGGCTGGATCGACTTAATATGGGGCTGCAAGCAGACGGGCCCGGCAGCGCGGGACGCGCTCAACGTGTTCTTTCTTGTTTGTTGCATGTTCGTGATCCTTGATTTTCTTCTCTTCCTCCTTCTCCTCGCGTTTTGCTCCCCTCCTTAATTCACGGTCCTCCTGGAATCTGGTACAATCCCACATATATATATATATATATTTATTTACATACCCTCCCGCTCTCACTTGCGTGCTTACGGGTGACGTGAGGGGGATTGTGGTTCGGTCCAGGTTGGCGATTTCTATACACACATTTATGCACATGGTGGTTGGGTTTAGGGTAATTGAAATTCAAAGGGAGGTGTGGTATCGCCTGGATCCGATCGATGCTCTGCCGGGGCTGGTACGATGTAGTTTCTTATAGAGGTCAGTGTCGCAATCGCGGGCCCGGCCATGTTTGAGGTCTTGCAGCGGGGATGTGTTGGATCAGCGGGCCTCGCCGTCGCAGTGGTGAGTCGTCTGGCTGCCGTGGCTATGTGATGACAGCTCGTTGTTTTACTCAGTGCGGGCAGGTCGCTGTACCTGCTGAGCTTGTGGCAGTGTAGCTGTTCCGCGGGGTCCCGTCGGGTCTCTGTTGGCTTCCTCTGCTCGGCATTGTAGTTGTCGAATCACCGTCGCCCCCTGCCTTTTGGAAGTGCCTATGTGGCCGAAAGTTGCGGCCAGTTCTCGGCCAAGCTATGGGACTAGTTATGTGTTCCCCCAGACGCTGTGGACAGCCATCGGGGACCACTTGGGGGAGGAAGAAGACGAGGAGGCGAGGTAGGAAAATGGAGGAGGAGGAGGAGGAGGACGAGGAGGCCTCTTGGGAGCATCTTGGGCCACTCTTCGGGCCTCCTTGGAGCTTCCTGGAGGCTTCTTGGAGACCTTTTGGGGGCTTCCTTGGGCCTGGGGGCCTTGGGAGGCTCCTTAGGAGGCTCCTTGGCAGTCTGAGCGCGTTCCTGGCCCGTGTGATGCCATCGGAGGCCGTTTTGGGGGCCTCTCTGGGCCGATTTGGGGCCCTCCCGGGGCGCTTCGGGGCCGTTTGGGAGGCCATTTTGGGCGTCTGGGAGGTCTCCTGGGCTGTCTTGGGGAAGCCGCACTTCTGTGAACGCCAAAATCTTCCAAACACCACAGGGAAATCAATGAGGCACTCCGTGCGCCCCTGTGGCAAGCCAGGGGGCGGCAGATCGAAGACGCTTCCTTCGGTCCATCCCACAACCGTGCTTCTGTTGTAGGTGTGGCTCCTTGGCGGCCTTCTGGGCCGCCTTGGGGGTATCGTGGGCACTCTTGAGGCCCTCGGGGGCCGTCTCGGGGCGCTCTTGGACCTTCTTGGGCGCTTCTCAGGACCAACCTAGGGATTTGCGGGGCTGTTTTTTGCGGGGTCATCGTAATCAGAGTTTGAGGTTGGGAGAAAGCAGTGAGTCCAAGCAGGAAACCGATTTGGGTTTCGGATCGTGCGAGGCGAAGTTGCGCGGGCAGGCGAGAGCCGATGATTCCCGCAGCTGCTTCCGTGCCCATCCCATCCCCCGTGTAACGCCATCGAGGCTCGGCGGCGCGAGCAGAGTACAGCATGAGCGTGCAAGAGCAGCAGTCGTGAAAGATGAGGGAACGGCTCCCGATCCTCGTCCGCCTCCCCCTCCCCGCTACAGATCCCTCCCCCTCCCAGTCTTTCCGTTCATCCTCATCGTCTGTGAGTTCCCCCCATCATTTCCTCCTCTCGACCTCGCTAGCCATCCAGGCTCCGTTGTCCAGCAGCCAGTCCCGGGGTCTCTTCTACACCCACTCAAGGCAGGCTGGTCGCTGCCTGGACAGTGCCGACATGGAACCGTCACGGCGGCTTGCGCGGGTTCCAGTCCTCCGAGTTTGCCGCCCGACGTAGGCCTGCGGGAAGCGCGCTGCAAATGCGGATTGCGCGTGCCGCATCAGGTGCGCTTGTGGGAGCGATGCTCCGGCGAGAATTGAGGGGCATTGATAGGGGGTGATAGGCTCAGGGGGGGATGCATCGACCCCCAGTCGCCGATTGATCGCCGATAGGGGTCTGATAGCCCCACCCCGCCCAGGAACTTTGGGATTTGCTATCGGGGGCATATCGCCGATCAATCGGCGATGCATCGCCGATTCCAGGTCGATGTTTCCCTCCTATGCCAGTCCACCTCCTATCGTTTGCCCTCCAGAACCCGCAAGGCGCCCTGGGAGCATCACAGGCAGAGGGAGGCCAAGCAGCTTTCCACAGGCAGCGGCAGCGGAGGAGGAAAGGACAACCGCGGAGCACATTCAGACGAGTTGGGCAATCAGTTAGCAGGGATCGAGAAGCTTCTTATACGTGCTGATGGTAAACAGTAAAGGGGGAAGAACCTGTGCCAAGCCAGTCCCGTGGGCAGGAGTCCGCCACTGACCACAGACAACGCAGGGCTCGAGCCGACTCACGAAGTAAAGATGAGGCTCAAAAGTCCACGGTGTCAGCCCATCTCGCCTGTTTCGAGGTCAGTATCAACTCGCTCCCGTCTGGGGCGGTTGGCGACGAGACGCGTGACCCCAGGAAGGCCACGAGGGACGCGAGGAAAGAGCTGCATGACTGATTACGTGTTCCTGATTGCGCACCGCCGTGCTGCGCGGGAGCCGCGCCGTGCCCAACTTCAGCGACATCGGTTGCGGACTGAAGCTGGGGACAGGTGGTCAGCAGCGAAAGAGGGACGTACGCGCACATGGTCTCATGTGGGCTTCGAGAGTACGCATGGCGCGAACGTTTGTATTCGCGGATTGGGGGCGTGTTCGTGTGCGTGGTTGGGCGCGCACGTCCCATGTGCGCTGCCTGCATCGAGCAGTTGGAGAAGCTTCATGAGGCTCTCTCAGCGAAGCCGGTCGTGGCAATTGCCAACGCCGAAAATCAGACATTTGAGCAGGAGTTCGCCGACACCGAAATGGAGCCGTCGCGCTGAGACCTTCGGTGCATCATCTGCAGTCTCCGAGTCCCGGCAGGAAGACTTCGATTATCCAGATGCCAAACATTTTCGCAGCTCGGCAGGCTGGGACATGCTCAAGGAACTGCTGGCGAGAGCCACGGGGGGCGCGGCCGAGAGTCGGCCCCCGCCTCGCCACGGGGAGCGGGGCCTCCCCCTCGTATTGTGCCATCGTTGGCGTTTCGCGGCGCGTTCGTGGCTCATGCGGCGCAGCGGGGCGGTGATGGATTTCGGGAGGCGGTGCGACAGCAGGCGTAGAGGCGGTGGACAGCGGATGTTTTGTCAAAGTCTCGTGGAAGCAGTTTGGCAGCCTTTTGATGCCCTTTGTTGGCCGTCTTGGGCCCCTCTCGGAGCTGTTTTGGGCCGTTTTGGGAGTTTCTTGGGCCCTGGGGCCCTCTTGGGCTTTCTTGGGCTCATCGTAGGGGCGTGTCGGGCCGCCGGGGAACGATGTTGGAGACCTCTGGGGCAGTTCTGGACGCTGTGAACCCCAAACGTCGCGCATGCGAAAAATGTAAGTTTTCCCGAAGGAATGAGACGATTTCTGATTGTTGGGGCCCTCTTGGAGAGCCTCTTGATGCTCTCTTGGGGCTTTGTCGCGACCTCTGGGGCCATCTGGAAACCATCTTGAGCGTCTTGGAGCGATCTTTCAGTGACTCGGGGTCTCTTGGGCCATGTAGGGGGCGTCCCGGCGCCCTCTTGGCGCGCTCCTGGAGCGCCCTGGGGGAGTCAGCCGGGCATCGCTCGGGCATCGCCCGGGCATCGGCCGGGGTACTTTTCGTCCAGGGGTCCCCAGGGGCCGCCACGCGCGCGCGAACTAGAAATATTGTTTACCTGTTACTGAAAATCTTAGCACGCCTCTGGTTTCGCAAGTCGTCGAAGCAGTGCGAGCGGTGCCGCCAGCTTATTGGGCAAGCCGCAGTTTTGTTCGTTCGCCGTCCCAAGGGCGCGCGGAGTCGACTCCCCAGCGAGTGCAAGATCGCACACAGCGGGGTTCCACCAACGTTCGTTGCCACGAACGGCTAAGCGCAGCCCGCTCCTCAACCTGGATCTATGCATCTCACGCTTCCCCTCACACCTCACAACATGTCGTTTGTTCATATTGCCTCCTTCCCCGCGCTTACCCTCATCCCAATCCTCTGCTTCTCCACATCCTTCCCGTCCTCGCTCTTGCTTCACACCCACTTCCTCCTTCTCATTCCACCCTTCTCCCCCTCCCCCATCGCTCCTTTCCCCTTCCCAATCTTCTCCCCGCCCTCCACATCAACCCCCGTCCTCCTCCTCCCCATCCTGTTCGCCCCTCCTCCCGATGCCCCCCTCTCCCCTCTCCGCCCTCTCTCCTTTTCATCCTTGCTCCTCCTCTTCCTTCCCTGCCTCCCGTTCCTCCCCCCCTTCCCTTTCGAGTTGAACCTTGCTTTGAGGCATCGGTAGCCAGAGCACTCCATCACCTTTTCGGGCTGCCCATTACACGGGGCAGGTTTTGGGCAACGGCCACACTCCGCACTACCAAGTACAAAAGGCAGGGGTGAGGGCTAACGCTTCACACTGACGACCTCGTGCGCTGTTCCAGTGCGTATGCTTTTGGCAATGTTTCAGTTTTGCTGGCATCGGCAGCATCCCTCCGCATCCCGCATCCCTCCGTTGGCAGCAGGCGTCTCGACTCCCAGTCACCTGGAGGCGCCCGGGTGCCCCTCTCCAGTTCAGGGCGTGTGGTTGTTTTGCCCGCGCGTCGCCCCCTTCGTACCCGCAGCGCTCGGACAGGTTTTACCCGCTGACCTACGAGGACGGGGTGGACTGGGACCAGGTTGCCTGGGGACGTCAATTGACCTCGAAAGCAAAACTGCATACATCAGATGAGGCAATGGTATCGATACTGGTGTTATTCCTGAAGAACTCTCGTCCCCACGGCTTGATTATCCTCGAAATTCTGGTCAGGAGGCAACCTGGGAGAGGTCTGGGGAAGGTCGGTGTCGGTATCGAAGACGCTTACGGCGAATCACCGCTACGCCTTGCCTTCTTGGAAGCGACTGTGTGGCCGCAAGTTGGGCTAGTGCTTGGCCGAGCTATCGGACCATGTTTCCCTAGCCTTCGTTGAAACCCTTCGAGGAACACGTGAGGAAGAGGAGAATGAGGAGAAAAGGAAAAGGGAGGAGGAGGAGGAGGAGGAAACGAAAGAGACAACACAGACCTCTTGGGCACCTCTTGGGGCACTTTTGGGGTCTCCTGGGAGCTTCCTGGGAGCCGTTTTGAGGCATCTTGGGGGTCTCCTTCGACCTCTTGAGGGCCTTTGGGGGCTTGGTCGGGGCCTCTTGGCCATCTTAGGGCGTTCCTGGGCCGTCTGACGCCGTCGGGAGCCGTCTTTGGGGCCTCTCTGGACCGTCTTGGGGCCATCTTGGGGTGCGTCAGGACCATCCTGGCCGTCATGGAGGCCTCTTTGGCCTTCGTGGGCCCCTCTCTGGGCCGTCTTGGGGGTTTCTTCGGTTGTACTGGGGCCATCTTGGAGGTTTCCTGGGCGCTTTGGGGATGATATTGGGGGCCCCTTGGGCAGTCTTGGGCCGTCGGAAGGCCGAAACGTAGCTAACGCCAACATCTTTCAAACACCTAAGGGAAGTCAATGATGTTGGCCTCCTCTGGTCCTCTTGGAGGACCTATTGGAGGCCTCTTGGGCCGTCTTGGAGGCCTCTTAGGGGTCCTCTTGGGCCGTTTTGGAGGTTTCTTGGGCAGAGTTGGGGGCATCTCGGGCCCTTTCGGGCCGTGTTGGATGCCATTTCTGCACATGGTGCTGTGAGCGTCGGATGGCAAGCTTGTGCACTCTGCTATCATTCTGACTGGAGGGAGTGGCCTCCCCCCAGCCGCACGTGTTTTTCCCCCCAGGAACCGTACGAGGCGACCATGGTGCAATAAAGCGAGAGAAAGAAAGAGAGAGAGAGAGGAACAACAACAACAAAGGCAGAGACTAACGTGAATCAGGCATTGGTGAGCAATACGACAGAACGAACCCCATATCTTCACCTCTGACGAGGACCACCGCCAAAAGACTCACATGGTAGCGGATCCGCGTGGTTCCACGCGGCCTCGGTGAGCTCACAACGGTTGAAGAAGAAAATAACGGTCGAGTTCCAGCCTGGAGCGGACACCCTGCTGGGCGGACAGCTGACGGGCCGAGCCGAGGCGGCAGTGGACAATTTTGACGCCCGAAATGGGTACGGAAACCATGGGCACAGTGCTCAACAACAAATGTTGCGCCAAAATAACAGCGGCCGCTTTTGGGCAGGCGGCTTTTTGTCTCAAATGAACAACGTCCGCGACGGCGCGGACACCGAGTCCTGCTCAAAATGAACAGGAACTGCTGTCGGGCATCGTACCCATTCTTTCCGTACCAATTGCGATCGTCCCAAGAAAAGTGTCGACCAGGATGGCTCAGCCAGTCGGCTGGCGTCTACAAGCGGCTGGCGTACACGGAGAAGAAATGTTGCAGGATGCCTGTCTCAGACGCATGCGCTGAGCTGGAGACGTTCCTCATCAAGACCCGACGTCGGAAGGGCGAGGATATGCAGCAATGGACGGGCAGGTTCGAAGTGGGCTACCAGCACCTACGGAAGGCCCTGGCCAGGGCCCTCGAGAAGACGAAGACGGATTGGCTGCCCGGGCCGCGACGCTGGACGTGGCGTTGGATCGAACCTGAAGAAGAAGACGAAGAATACGGTGAGTGGTCTTGGGCGTGGGAGGAGCCGTCGGGCGCTCTCGGCGATTCCTTCGAATCTGGCCGCGAGGCGGAGCGCAGCGACGACGCGCCGTCCGACGATGAGCGCGAAGACTTGCCAGAGGCGATCCCAGGATTGGCGCGTGGACGGCTGGTCCCAGCACGAGCGGGACCGGGCTCGCCCGAGAGGACTGCGACCATGGCATCGACTGGCGCTCCCCCTGAGGCCGCGAGGACCGCAAGAGAGACACGAGTAGGAGAAAAGGCGCTCATGGCGCAGAGCGTCGGCGATGACGAGAAGACCTGGCTCGACGACTCGATGGAGCAGATGTCGCTGATGGGCCATGCAGAGCGGGGGGGGGGGGCAGCTCCCCGACCTCGATGGGGAGAAGTACGTGGCTTTCCTAGTGGTCCAGCAGGAGGAAGCGGAGGCGCTCTCCGCCGCGGACGCGCAGCACGTTCTGTGGCAGGCCCGAGATGCACGAGCGGAAGCACGAGCGAGCCGCGGGCTCCACCGATCAGGGGGGGAGCTCGACCAGAGGCGAGTTCGCCATGGAGGTCGACGCCCCTGTTCCCGCCGTGCCCGAGGAAGCCCGTGCCGAGGCAGTTCGGAGCGCGGAAAATTATTGCCCCCACGAGAACAGACAGCCCGTGGATGCGCGGGGCGCGGCTCGAAGGACCGCTGGACCTTCCAGCGCCCGGACGCGCGCGACAAACGGCCCTGCGGCGCGAACCTGGCCGAGAAGGGCGAGGGGGTCTTCGGGGGCCCGGCCGCGGCGCCGGCGACCGACGCCGACGCAGCCAAGACGAAGATCATCACCGAGTGCGAGGAGAGCGATGCCTTCGCCCCGGCCATGATGGAGCGCGGCATGGGCATCGGGACTCGGTTGCGCAGACCCCATGGGCGGCGCGAAGGCGCCGGGCGCGGCCGCCCAGATCAACCGGAAGCGCCACGGCGAGACCCGGCCGATGGACGTTGACCTTGGACACAAGTCCATCTATTCTTTTGGAACTGGCGAACGGGCCCGCGCGCGCGGCAAGGTTCGTTTCCAGGCGCAGACGGGGGGCCTCAAGGGCGACATCAGCATCGACGGCTTCGACAACGACGTCCCGGTTTTGATCGGCAAACGGGCGTTGGCCCGTCTCGGCGCCGTCTTGGATCGCTCCAACGGGGCCGCTTTCTTCGCGATGGTCTCGCCTCGATGGGCCCAGTCTAGTTCGAAGAGCATGACCGCCGCTACCACTTCCCTTCGCTGGTGGGCGATCAGCTCGCGAACGCGGTGACCGACTAGAGGGAGCTCGATAATTGCCCCAAGTCGCCGCTGCCCCGGCCGACGGAGAGGGCCCCCTGGGATCCGCGAGCGGCCGCTCAGGCGCAGCGGGGCCATCCGGTTCCATTTCGCGCCCGCCGTCGCGCGCCGCATCCATTCCGTCGGCTATCGCGGGGGGCGAGGGCCCGTCGCCGCCCGCGGCGCCCGGGGTTCCGAGACCAGAGACGGGCGTATATCAGGGCCCGGGCGCCTTTGTGGCCATCGCGGCTCACGGCCAGGAGACGGGCGACCGGCGATTACGCGGCGCGGGGGCCGCTGTTGACATCACGTCTCCGCGGCGGAATCAGGCAGCCCTCGCGGTCTTCGCCGCCGCCGTCGTCGCGGCGGCTGTTCTTGGCGGCGCCGCGCGTCGATGGAATGGCCGCGGAACCGATCAGCTGTGAACGTGTTAGTCAAGGCGGATGCGGCGGCACTGCTCGAGTAGATGAGCACGGTCGTCAGTCCATGGCGGTCGCCATCGAAACTCAAGGAGATCCTGCAGGGCGAGATGTTCCTGGAGGGCGAGGCCGACGACCGCGAGCGACTGAAGGGGTCACGAACATGAAAAGACTGAATTGGTGAACCTCGCGGCCCAGACTGGCGCCCCGACGGCGCCAAGGACGGCGCGCCGGGACCTGCGCATCAGCGCGCGCGGGCCGGCGATGCACGAGTCAGCGCCCCGCGGGGCCGACTGCGTAGAGTTCGGCAAACATGGCGCCAATATATCAGGGGCGGCCAAACCGACCCCTACCAAACCATACCCTTTTTTAAAAGAAGGCGGAAGTGCGCAAACATAGGGAGCGAATGAGATCCTTCCCGAGAGCGTCGCTCTCGCAAGACCGGGTCGCGGTCCCAGGGGCACGCGGAGAGACAACTAAACCGAGACGTTTTGGAAACCATTGCACCAGTCAAGCGCTTCGGGGACGGACATAAACGAAAGCGCCAGCGCGGGCAGAGGTCGCGACGACGGGCCGGCAGACAGAACGACGCAAGATAAGGAGCGCGGCCCAAGGACAGTCATCGGGGAACGTCAACGGCGCATGGAATCCACGCGCTGCCTTCGAATTGCGTGACCAACGGTGGCCTGCCAGAGCGACACGTCTGCGCTGGCACGGGCGTTTACCATTCAAAATTTCATGCCGCGGCCCTGCGCTGCGTAGCGCAACTCTTTCTTAATGCGAATCAGAGCTCCAAGGTGCGCACATGATGTCGGTGAGCCGAAACGCGCACTGAAGCTGGGCGGCTAGGAAAAAACGCAACCACCCCCAAAACGAACATATCCCAACGAAGCAGTCGCATGCTATGCGCGCGGTGAAGTACGACCGCCAGGTCTTGAACAGTCTTACAACATACCTGGCAAACCTTGAACGATTTCTCAAAAGTGATTGGCACACTCACGACACCGGAATTACAAATAAATCGTTTCGCTACTTCGGGAATAGGACAAAGGAACACCACGCCTTTTGTATATGGACGAGCAACTGAAACGTCACCCACCCTGACGTACGCATACGCGTGCAAGGATGGCGAATTGAGCCAATGATGGCCCAAAGAGACGGTCCTCCCGTGGATGGGGTTTTGCCAGCGCGTGCCCGCTACATATCAGGAGCCACGAAAGTGCGCAAACAGACATATCATAGGATCCACACTTGGCTCTATCACAGACAGAGCGCCCATGTCTGCGTTGGCAAGTATGCCTCCGGTGCCGAGCCAGGCGCATGAGTGCGCACGTGCTGCGCGAGCAGGCTCACGCGCCCCATGAAAGACTGCTGTCGTTTCAAGGCGTTGGCC